AAAATAAAAGATCGAGATGCAGGAATCAGGATGAAGGAATGGAAACGATGTGAGAACATTAGTTATAACTGATAATAACAATCGGATGTACCAGAATGGGAGGAGGTTGCAGAACCACTTATCGAATGTATCATGACGTATCACTTGAAGTACAGGAAGACCGAATTTCGTTCCTCACAGGACGGGTAACCTTGATTGAGAAACAATTTGCATGACAGAATTTTGGATATCAGAGTGACCTGTAGACCCTAGTGCCAGTGGGAGGCATCTGTGAAAACCACTATGAAATGTTCATAAAGGAACAGCACAGAACTGACCGGGTATTCCAGGCTGTCAGTCAGGGGTGCCCGCTGCACCATCACAAAATAGAAAAATTCTTGTGAACAATGAAGGTGCAAAAAGTGGGCGTAACACTTTGACAGATGATGAAGATCCCGCACTTGTGTGATCACGAAACAACTCAACAGATGACGAGGATCCCGGCACGGATGTGATCGGAGTGGAAACGAATAGTGCTATCTTGTGCGCACCACGGTGGAGGTACATCCGTAGAAAAGCGGAACCACATGCGTGCCATGACGTGCTCGAGGTCAGCGGTCGAACTCGGATTGAATAAAGGGTTCTGAAGCTGCGCTAATCGGACTGGAAAAATGTTGTCTTTTGTGTGAACTGGTAAAACCGTGACTCGCCGACACGAATTGGACACGCGTCATGGTAAGTTCATAACAATGTTGAACGTGAGCTTATCAAGCAGAAAATATCCGAGTCGACCGCCTCAGAGTATCGAGATGCGAGGGTCCACAACAAGTTGTCCTTGTGACGTGAGAGAGGGTGAAATGCACCATTGAGATGTTAAGTACTTACTTGTGTAAGCCACGACTCACGAGAAGCACCCATGGCATGTCGAATGCACCCACGAGCGGTCATCATGCTGCTTAGAGCAACTAGATCTGGGTCAATTAGGTTGCCTTCATGATTTCATAAGTAGTAGTCCGTCGAGTCAAGGACTAAATCATCGATGGCATCGACCACGCGTCGCTGATATAAGCTTTCCACGCCCCGATTTTTCACTTGGTGCTTAGGCATTGCGGTGACCACTTCGAGTTGTTGACCCAAGGTCGTTGATTCGCCCATTAACTGCGTAAGTTTTTACCATCAGATCAAAATAGACTGATAGAAGAATCATATATTGAACATAGAATCGACTCGGAGTAGTCATCTTATACCGATAATCAAGATGGCTACTGGATATTCTTCTCCGACTTTGCAGGATACCGAGGTTCCCCAACCTCATCCATATCTTCACGAACCTTTGCTCTATATCTCCAATCTTCCTCCTTATGTCACTGATGAAAATCTTGCAATGACTTTCCAGCCATGTGCTCCATTCAGACCCAACATTGTACGTGATGGCAGCAATCGCCCTCTTTCAGGAACCATAGAATTCAAGTACCTTGAGAAAGGTTGTGCCTGATTTGCACGTTCATTTTAATCTTTCTAACTTAACTGTTAATTCTCATAGCGGAGAAGGCTCTCGCCACCCTGCAGTCGCGTCCAATTCAGGGTTTGCAACCTTCCGTGTTTTTGGTCCTATCTCCATATCCACCAACCACCCCGCCGACACCACTCCCCCCTCCATCCGCTCTACCACGTCTTGTCAAGCATCTTCCGGTTGGCTTCACTGATTTTCAGCTTTATGATTTATTCCGACCATTTGGCGCTCTTGCATCTACTCGGACACAGACTGGATTTGGAAGCGATACCGGAGTTGTCGAGTTCTGGCGTGAAGAGGATGCACAAATTGCAGAAGAAGCTATGCACTGTGCTGACGTTGAAGGACAAAACATTGCTGTAACAGTATACCAGGCGCGACGTACCAGTGGTACTGTCTCTGAGTTCAGCGCTCATGCCCCAACATTTGTCCCATCAGGATCTGTATTCCCCTATCCTCAAGTTTGTTTCTTAATATTATCATTATTTGATCGGGCTCACTAACCAAACATCAGTACTCGCCTCCCCGAGTGAGTCCATACCCTGCTGCAAGAGCTCCCATATTTGTTCATGGCCCGGGCCAGCAAGTGCAACTTGCCCCATTATCGGGACCCGGCTCCAGTAGTCACAGTGGTCTAATAGACCCTTGCAATCTATTCTGCAAGGTCGGCATTTCATGACGTTACTGTTATGAAGGTGCTTATCATCGGGTGCAGAATTTAGATCCTGAAATAAACTCCAACGGTCTTTTCGCCCATTTCCGTCAGGTATTGATATTTTACTTTCTTGCACTAAATTATTCGTCTTACGCTACATGAAATTATAGTTTGGTCAGATTGTCAGGTATGGGCCATCTCTTTTCTGATGAAAAACGCCCTAATGATCGGAACAGTGCTCGCGTGATGCGGAACGAGAATGGCGAGAGTCGTGGCTTTGGATTCGTTTCCTTCCAGACTCCCGACGCAGGTATAATATTACTATTTGCTCGACATTGGTAATTATTAATTGCATGTCAATCTAGCTTCCGCTGCTATGCACGGTATGAACGGTGTCGTTCTAGGCACAAAACAGCTCGTTGTCAGACTCCATGAACCAAAACAGTTACGACAGGAGAAACTCGCCCAGCGGTTTGGCCATAACGGACATCCTAGAAGTGCAAGCGGAGCAACAAGTCCCACTGCTAGTGAAGCTGGCGAAAGCTACATTGGCTTCTCTAGTCCACGCCGTGCTCCTTCTGTTCTCGGCTCGCCCGTTATGGGTCATATTGACCGTCCGGACAGAGGCAGGCGAGGCTCAGGCAGCTATTATAATGTAATATCTCTGTCCTTCCTCAGCACCCAAAATGCATACTGATATGTATACAGGCTGCTCTTTCCGGTACTCTTAACTTGCCTATGCGCTACGATGATCTTGCCGCGCTGTCACCTGTGGTAAGGAAAGAAGTTCTCACAGGTGAACTTAGTCGGCGAGTGAAGGCGAGTGACACTGTACCCGCCAATGAGGTTGAAGCGGTTGTCGAATCCTTGGTATCATTGTCTCTGAGCGAAGCCGTCACCGGTATGCAAGATCCTGCCAAATTCGCCGAACAACTTGCTACTGCCCGTAATTTGCTCAAGCCTGCCAGCACACCCTCACCTATGAAGTCGCCCTCGCCTTCGAACTCTCAAGATTCGCGTGTACTCGACCCCAGCGCTCTGAATGCTACTGCCTCGGCGCCGGAGCATCCATCTACCCCTATTTCAATCTCAGCGTCCCTGTCCACACCTCCACGCACTTCCTCTCCCTCTGGCTCGGTGCCACCTATTTCTGAGAAAGACCGCATGGCAGTGGCTGTAAGCAAACTTGAATCATCCAGGCAGGCCGACCTCGTCGAACTTCTTATGAGTCTTCCCAAGCGCGAGCGTGCCCTGTGTCTGTTCAACACTGATGTTCTGCGAGCAAAAATAGCAGACGCGAAAATGGTCCTGGATAGTGATGATGGAGATGAAGAACAGCAGAAGCCGGATACCCAGTCTATCCAATCTGCTCCTGCACAGCCCGTCCCGGTAACGCCTCAGATGAAGAAGATAGTTGCAACCACTGAGAGCTCTCCCAAGACTCCTGCATTGTCGTCTAAGGGTCCCTCTGCCGCGTCGTCCCCCGTACCAGTCACACCCGAATCATCTTCGTCACATACGATCGCATCTCTGGCACGTTTACCTGCTGCCGAGATTATTAAGCTCGCAAATTCATCGTCAGCAACCGGCCTACCTCTGCCGAAAGTAGATCCGTTAGTCGTCAAAACCACAGATGAATTTATCGACAGCCTTATGGATAAGCCAATACAAGCACAGAAGCAACAGCTCGGCGATAAGTTGTACGTCGGTAGTGGCATCCTCAGCTCTACGGAAATCTAACATTGCGATCAATTCAATTCAGGTATCGAGCTATCAAGGCGTTTGGTATCAAAGGCGCAGTAAGTTTTGGCTTCATCGGTGCTGCTCGTGCGACTGAACACTTCTTCTTTCAGCCTAAACTTACCATTGGCCTACTCGATCAAGATGATCTCCGAGCTCTAGCTCATCTTATGAATAGCTACCCTTCTGTTCTCAAGGAAAAGGCTCTCCTCCTTCAGGCTGGCGGCAAATAACGGATCGTCTGCTTAACCTCTAGCACATTAGCTTCTATTCTCATCTTCATTCCAAATTTTCATATCCGCATCTGCGCCATATCGTGCACTACACACTTCTAGGGATACATTCAGACCAATCACTCTCCTTCCACCATTACCGTGTGCTTCACTTTTACTGTCCAAATCTTTTTGTCTACGATTATTCTAGCCATCCGATACGCTTTTGTTACCTGCCACCACATTCTTCTCTCGTTTGTGACCTGGATTTACGACTTTACGAACCTTACTCGCCCCTATACGCTTGATGTTTGCTTCGCATTACCGTCGGCCTCAAAATTCTCCACACACTCTTCAATGTTATGTGTTGCGCCTCACTACTGAATATTCAGTTTGTTGCAGACCATGATATGGTATTGGAATCAGTATTGAACTTTCGACTCCATAGAAATGTAGACTAGTGACAAAGCGAAATGAAGGGTGCTCAATTTTTACTGCAGAATTTTGGGCAGGGCGTAGTATGGAAGATCCATGCCTTTTTGGATGCCTCGATTGTTGCTTATTGTCCCAACGGTGGAATTGGCACCCAATCAATGATCATGGGGATTGCAGGGGATTGTGCATATAATCCAACTTACGATCAATATCAAAGCACACAAGGAGCAGTGGCCTGGAAGTTGAAGACTAACGACCGCATCTCAATAGAAAGGAATTATGGTATACTAATCGGTTCATTCTCAGCTGAAAGAATAAGAATTTTGAGAACTACATGACTCCGGTAGCTCTTTTGATTCAAGTCCAAGATTGTGAGTAACTGATTTTGATGTCTGTCGTATTTTAATGCAGGACTTAACGGTATAATAGTATTTGGACTGATTATTCGTACACGATTACTTAGCCGCTATGGAATGTATCGGAATCCAGGAGCCTGTTGATTGATGGGAACAAATAAAATTTGTCTTTCAATTAAACGACTTACCTTGTCTGCAAGCTCCGACGTATCTACTATATCATCTGGATCTGGCTTGCCGTACTGCTGATCTCGTCGCATGTTGTCCAAACAGAAGGAAACCTTATGACAGTGATGAGTCCAGGTGATCACAAAAGGACATCTGGGCTTACACTCAACAAGAGTGAACATAGTGCAGCCAAAAAGAGCAGGGACGCAGAAACTGAGATCAGTTCGTCAATGTGACAGGAAGTTACGGTATGACTATCACATTACCAGTGAATCCATTCCTAAAATGCCGTGAGTTAGGTAAGATGTGGAAAGATGGAAGGACTAACGTGTAGGCGGGGCCCTCGGTCAAGGGGTAGATATGGGATCCCAGAATGCCTCCGATTTGCCCAATAGCACCATAGAGAGGGATGCCAGCGGCTCTCTTTGTTTCAGAGCCGAGATTATGGTTATCTGTTGAGTGGAAAAAGATAATTGAACAGTAGACATATAGAAAATTAGACGAACACCAAGCGTTCATCAAGCCGATGCTTGAATAGGTTCCGCTAGTGATAAGGAATGTTGCGCCATAGCGCACATCTTGCCGATGAGTAGCGCCAAGTAATATCCTAGAGCAGAATCCAGATCAGCGTTTGCATCCTGTGCGCAAATAACAACCTGGTTCACATATAACCCAGACCACCAATTGTACTGGTACAGACAAGTAAGGGTCCCCTAATCTGTAGCCTGTCGGATGAATAGGACGTAACCATGAGCACAAAACCAGCTAAAGCATATGGCGGCACTGTCATCAATTGAGCCATGGCATTTTCTAATGTGAATTTGAGCCAAATAGTTTGATGACGACAGAAATGATAGTCTTACCATGCCCCATGGTACCAATGATAGTTGGCAAGAAGGCCGACAACGATGCCAAAGCACAGTTGTGGCCAAAGTAAATTACTCCAGCTACGTAGATCTACAGCTTATATCAGATATCGGGCCGTAGAAACGCAGATGCAAGGCTTGCCCTCCAGTCCTGGAAAGCCGCGATGACGTGACCTATTCATCGGTCAGAACCTTGTGCTTGCATGAATTTTGTGGACATTACTTCGACGGACAACTGCACCAAAGTCACCACTTGTCCCTCTGTTCATACGACTAATTGCGATTTTACGCTCCGCTGCAGTAAGAAACTGCGTGGACTCCGGACGGTCTGGAAGTATGAATAGACAGAGTACACCTAGAAGTATTGTCGGCGTGCCCTGGAGGGCATAACATCAATGGCATGACCTACATTTCATCTGATGAGCATACCTCGAACAGAAAAAGCAACCTCCAGTTGGCAATCGACACCTTGACATGTTGTATCCCGTAAGCGACGAGCCCCCCAAATGCCCCTGCGACGGCTGCAAACCCGAACCAGTATGCGATGCGAGTACCGCACTCGGCCTTGGTATAGTAGAAAGCTATTAAAAACATCAAATCCAGCGATCATACACCAAATTTCTACAACCACAACTCACAAAAGTATAATACAACAACACCTCCGAATGCTGCTTCGAACGTTCCTAGTCCAAGTCGAGCAATCATCAGGCCAGTGAAACTATGTGCTGCTGCCTGAGTAGGTAACGTGTCATCAAACAAAGGAATATGGATTATAGAGTTCTCAGACCATCGATGTGGAACATATCCCCCAGAGGACAGCAGAGCAGCCAATCCATATGCGTGGACTGTAATACTTCGAAAGGACCGTGAATGGAATTTGCAAAAGTATCTATGAGCCATGTTGTCGGTAGTAGTTGGCATGCGACCAAAAAATCCAAAAGATTGGAAACTCACATAAGTGAAAAAGAAGGCAGAATTGACCCAATCAAATAGTACCCCAGTGGGATCTCCACTGAGAACATCTCCGGGCAAACCCTGTAATCGAGCATTGCCCAGGTTTGACCGATCAAGGTCTGCGAAATTCAAAGGTCAGACCACTTGATTGGTTTGCAGCCCAAATCAGCGAGGGCATAGAAGATCGAGCTCACAAGCAAATAAGTAAAGGAGGCATAGTATTGGCAGAATCCTCTTATCTAATTTTCTCAAGAGCCTTCTCTCTTGAGCTTCGGAGTCTTCGTCCAGCGGAATGAGCAGATCTCTCTCACTGACGCATTCAATGACAAGACCATCTTGTCTTCTGTCGCAGTGTTCATAATGGTCAACGTGCATTCTGTTGGCGCTTGGAAGAAAGAAGTATGGACCTCAGACTTGTAGGGTCGTCAGGAATCCAGAAGCCCGTATTAATAGTCCGCTACTTCCACTGAATCAACCGACTTGAGTCAGTGCCGACTCCCGAGTACATCAAGAGCATGTCTTCTTGATCCGGCCGGTCCATATTGACCGGACCTCTCGCATTAAACCACCTGTCAACTAGCGGCCCGTTTTCCTGGTGGGGGTAAGTATTTATGTAGCGCGCGCTCGATTAGTTTCATGATCGTGTGTGCTCCCTCCGCTGGCATGTTACTATAGTTGTCACCGCCGCAGGATGTGATCAGCACTAGCATAAATTCGATCGCTTGAGCTGCAGCAGCACGTGTGTACTATAGGCCAGAAGACAACTCTAATGGCCAGTAAATAAATAAAAATTCTAGAACGGAAGCTTCGCATTCTTAGCGGTGCGGGGAGGTTTGAGAGGGTGTGGACGTCGCCTCTTGTAATACTAGAGCAACATGTCAAACATCGCAGTGAAAGTGACCGTAGAAACCATACCTGCTTATACTCTCTGATACGCTTGGGCATACTGCGCATGAGTAACGCCCTCTGTTTCTCCCTCTTCTCTGCAATACGCTGCCACTTGTGCCCCTTGAACATTCGCTTCTTCCCTGCATACAATCTGTTCCCAACTTCCGCACCAAGAACTTTCTTCTCCTTCACTTCACCTGTCCATTCTATTTGGCGCATCCACGGTGCAACAGCATTTAGAACTCGAGGTTTTACTGAAGCCGAGGAACCTGGAACAATAGCCTGCCCAGAAACAGCAGCAGCAGCAGCAGCAATTTCTACTACCGAAATTTTAGGGCCAGGAGGCAGAAACCCAAGCGTGCCAGATTCGCGAGCTTTCTTGATAAGAGAAGCCTGTTGGCGCAGGGAGTACTTTGGTGGTGCCCATCTGCCTGTCTTTGGGTTGAGCTTTGGGATAAATGGATTCTCTATGCTAGCAACTGGAACCTTGTTGCGCGATGAGGATGCCGAGCTAGGATATAATTTGGTTTTGGGAGCTGGTTTCACGAGAGCGGGACTTTGTAGAGCAGTAGGTCCCAGCTCCCGTATTCGAAACCGTTTGACGGCTTGCAGAGCAGACATTGGAAGTTGGATTGGTGACCGCCAGTCTAAGTGAAAAGTTGAAGGAAAAACTTAATTTAGTTTCTCTTTCCAAAAATGGGTTATCCTGAGACGCGAAACTGAAGAAATATTATTGTACCATGCTTTTACAACACTTTGTAAAAATTCCGTTGCATTTTTCGTATCAATTGATATGTGTTCAAATTGCATATTTGAAGTTTCAGAGAAAAATATACAACTGTTCAGGCGCAACATTCAACACAGTGGCTGTATATTAAGGTTCAAAATATTATGTAAGCCATAAATGGCACGTGAGCGTCATTGAGCCTATCACGTGCACTAACAATGCGTCAATCTGTTTGTGTCAGTTTGGTCCTGGCAGCGCGTTTAATTGCGTTTAACTGATCTTCTTTTCGTCACCGTGACGTTACCAGTGAGGCTTAGCCCGTCTACCATCCGCCCATAATATCGTTCTTTTCTTGATGGCTGGAGCCTTTAGCGGCTACCTCTTGGATTCATATAATACGTCAATGCAACGGCTAGCACCAGGATTCGGTCGGCCGCAGTCAAGGGTTATCACCAGCGGTGCGATGTCGTTCGATGCGTCGATGCATGGCAGCTTTACATCAACCAACTCTTTCGCCGATCACTCAATTTCTATGGATATGTCCGATGATACGGCCATCAAGATCGCTACGCTTCAGGCCAAGCTAAACAAGAAGCTTGGGCCGGAGTACATCTCACAGAGACCTGGTCCTGGAGGTGGACCTAAGCTCACGTATGCGGAAGGGTGGAAAATCATTAACATCGCAAACGAGGTGTTTGGGTTTAATGGATGGAGTTCCCAAATTGTCAATATGACTACCGACTACATGGACTACAATGAGGAATCCAAGAGATGTAACGTTGGTATTTCTTGCATTGTCCGTGTCACACTTAGATGTGGTGTGTTTCACGAAGATGTGGGATATGGAACGGCAGAGAATGCGAAGGGAAAAGCCCAAGCGATCGATAAAGTAAGATCTATTCATTTGACAATTCCATTCATTCATTGTATTTTGTTAGAGTAAGAAGGAAGCTGTGACCGATGCAGTGAAGCGAGCACTTCGCAACTTCGGATCACTCCTTGGAAATTGTTTATACGATAAGTCATATACCCAAGAGATCACGAAGATGAAAGTGCCACCTGTTAGTACCTCTCGCAGTGCCGGGAACCAACTAGAGCTGATATAAGAATTTTGGCAAGGCAAAATTTGACAAGTCCGAGCTATATCGCCGTCCAGAGTTTGACGACACAAAACCTAATATAGCAAGCAGTATTCCAATGGCTGCACCTGCTTCAGTGCAAACAGCACCACAAACCCCTGCGATTACTCCAGATGTAAAAGCGAACAGGGTTGCGGTCAAGTCTGAGCCACTTCAGGGCGCAGAGACTCCGATCGCATATATCCCCCGACACTTACGACAGGAGATGGCTTCGGGTGCAAGTGGCTCCACGTCCACGAGCGCGACCCCAATCTGTAACGACCAAGCATCTTGGAATTGTCAAGGTACTACCAACGGCCTGAACACTCCTATCCATACACCAGTTCAACGAGCGGGGAATACGAATCGCGGACAGTATAGGCAAACTGCCCCATCACCACTTGTTCAGCCTGAGCAACGACGTGTGTCTTTCACTGAACCTGCTGCAGAACCGCCGTCAGCGGACGAGATTGGACTACCAGTGGCTGACGAGACGTCATACAGTATTGACTCAGAAGACGACGAATTCTACGCCAACGTTGACCTTGGAGATGGTGATTTAGGGAGACCGATCGACTTCGAAGAGGGCATGGGCGGAGTGAGTGTCTCAGACGTAACATCTGACCAGGGGGACGCCGTTGCATCTGGGAATCCTCGAGAATCCTCAAAGCCTCCCCAGGGAAACTCGGTGCATGGCCAAGAGATCTCTAGCTCTGGAAGAGGCGAAGTGACTGCTCCAGGAATTTCTCGTTTTTCTCACTCGAACGCGCCACGTTTCCAACCCGGTCCATCGGCTGCAAATTCTGTACGTCATAGACTCGATGATGCAGTAGGTGTACCTGCAGCACCTCCGAAAACACGCGAATCAAGCTCCACTGCATCTGCTTCCACTTCAGAAACTAGGCGTGGTACGCCATCCATGGGAGGGTTCCATTTTCCTCCGGGCATGGTAGGTACACTCTCCCTCTGAGACTGGTTATTGCTCACATGAAAGACAGAATCAACCCAGACCGGTGGGGCCACCTCAACCTCCAAACTGGACAACGGGTTCTACTTCCAGCTCGTCTAATATTTCGAGCCTGAAACGTAAAGCCGACACCACCCAGTATGTAATTCTTGATACTATTGGCATATGACCAACCCTAGACTCATCCCTGAATTATAGAACGTGTTCATTGTCATCCAAACCTTTACAAGGCCTTGGCCTGACCCAGCAACAACAATCAGTCGCTGGAAACCCCAACGGAACTCGAAGACCTCTGGCAAATCTTGATGTTAGCGCCGGCGGTGATGTGAAACGACCAAAACACTAGTATTCGCCCTCGAGTCCTGGAAGGAGCTTTTTCACCACGTCTCACCCGTGTCCTCTTTATTTTCAAGCATATGTTTACGGTTTGTTTATTCCATGTCATCCATCATTGTACAGCTACTTTGCACTTCATTTTTGCTACTTTGCACTATTCCCATCGCAATCACATACACACCAGCATCCTAATACATTTTTCTTATACGGCACAAAGGATCCCCTGACTCCCAATTACGAATTTCGATTCTGAGTTTGTTGTCTCTGCGAGTGTCGGGGAGACGGTTATAACTCAACACCGATCAGTTCCTATGTATTACTTACTCATCACTGCTGAATTGCAACCTGCACTTGAGTCTTAAACACAGCAATCACTGTATTCAGTCAGTCATGCAAGTCCGTATACGCTGGGGAGTAGGGTAGATTGTTCAATTGTAGGGGACAACAAGGAATCATGTCTGTGGAGTCACAACAGTACTCATTGCGTGCCAAGTACTAATCCTCACTGACAATAAGTTATCAATTCTAAGGACGGGTTTGTTGGACGAATCCCTCGTTTGGTATGTGAGCCAGATCCTCTCCGGCACTCAGCAGAAATTTCTAGACAACATTCTGAACAGTAAGCGTTAATATCTGAAATCTTGCTAGTCCAACACGACGTACGGTCGCAAGCGCCTGTCGTGCCACGTCCTTGATCTCCACGTGCCCTCACCTCATAAGTCGGCAGCAGTTGCTCATGCTCACGTTTTCGAATCAACAACCCGGCCTTGATGACAAGACCACAATTCACCCGCCATCAGATTTAACATCAAATCGTTGGTGTATGTAATTATTGCGGAAATTTATACATCCAAGTTCTAGCCCTGCGCCGTAAATCTGCGCCTATTGGATGCGGCCTTGACCCCTTTGTCAGTCTGCGGCAATCCAATCCATTTCGTCGTTCGCCGAGGCACATACTGGGCACCATATTGATGACATACAGACGTCCATATGCAGTGTCCGAGGACTAGCAAGTGGCCCGGGGACGCCCCCCTGCATACACAATTGTTGGTGGGAAACACCCACATGCTTCTGTGAAGCGACGGATAACCAGATGGTAGTATGGATCGAAGCGCTCCGTGAGACAGGTAGGATATTTGGAAATCAAGTGACAGCGGCAAAGAGAGGATTAATTACGGAGTTCAATACAATCAGCGAGGGATGTGAAAAGACATAGTCCAGACGAGCCATTGCAGTATCGTAGCACCTATTCCTCGTGTAAGGAACGTGTTCCTCAAAGCATTGGGCTTCTGGTGAAAATTTAGAGCCTGTGTGCAGAAAGTACCGTTACGGTACTTTGAAAATGGGACTGCATATGGCGGATAGGCTAAAGTGGTGATACATGTGTTGTAACCGCTGCGATCGCATGAGCTGGCAGTCTGTGTAACATATGACACATTCCGAGATTTGGGTTCCTGTATTAAGAAACTCAGGCTGTGACCCGTCTGAAAGCAATTCAAACCTTTTTCAATAGCAGCCTTCTTGGGTCTAGTTCTTCCCTCAAGCCTTGGTTTCGTTCGGCCTGTGGTATTCTTGTACCATTGTATATTTGCTAGTGTTAAAAAACTTCGCCATCAATACATTTCATTAGTATCGGGGACGACAACCCTCACCTCCCGAAACCTAGGCTCTACCTCGTCGATGTCCTGGGGGTCCTCTAGCAACCCGAAATGGACAAGGACCTCATCGACACGGTCTAGCGCGAACGTCGCCTATGACGCGCGCACAAGCCTTGTGAGCCTCAAAGCCGCTAATGTGACTTTGCAGCTAATCGTCAGTGTATGCCTTAGATAACCCGTGTTTGCTCGCCCTGGGATGGCTTGTCCTCTTATCATGGGTCATGAAATCGTCAGGGCTCTTATCAAAATGATAAGGTTCGCTTGTTGATGCGTGACGTGTTACTCACCAGTCTAGGTTTGCTCTGACGTTCTGCTCATCTTTTTCCGCCAAAATCTGAACGATTGTTCCCAATATCGTTAGTGCGGTTCCAGAATAGACTGAATCATTTAATGCTCAAGATCACTCGGTCACCCAAGGTTGCAGCTCAAAATCATGCTCAGCGCATGCCATAGTGTTATGCAAGATTTCTAGAATATTAGTGGCAGGGTATATACGTATATGTGGTGTCATGAGTATCCAGTCTAGCTTTCAGAAGATGCGGGCTTGCGGCAAATTGCGAGGTACATGGGCGTGAACAGCTTCAAACAATTCATGAGCCCTCGCTAGAAATTTACAGACATAATTCAACTCACTTTGGTCTGACCACCCTTCACAAGTGCATCGGCAGCGACCTTGAGGGATTCGCCAACATCATATGTGCCCTTGGGCAGAAAACCAAGCATCTCCATGAACTTGATTGCAGTGTGTGAAACGAGCTTTCCACTCCAGCTCATCCGCCAAACAGTGAAGCAATCCCAAGCAGTCTGGGCCTTCCATATGTCGCCTTCCAGCGGGTAATACCATGGAACTTCATCAGGGCGTTCGGCAAGATCCTCTTCGTGCTCAATAGAGAAGCCAACATTGATCATAGCTTCGCGAGCTTGCTTCAAGGGACGCATTTCTGGGATACCGTTGCCAAACTCAATAGCATGCGCAAGTTCCTTGTGTGCAGGGATGGATGCATCCCACGTGTCAGTCATGCACCATTCATAGACACCGAACTATAAACTGATGTCAATATATTGAAGCTCGGAGTTGAGAGTTAATCATACCACTCCTCCGGGCTTCAAGACCTTCATGATTTCACCATACACACCCTCCCATGTAGGTGCATGAACAGTGGCTTCAATGGCGTACACTGATATTAATGCCGTTAGGATTCATTAGCTTCTGAAAGCCTAGAAAAACGCCCACCAGCATCAAACGAATTCTCGCCAAACTGTTCTGACAACTTCATGAAATCACCCTTGGCGAAGCTTACTTGGTTTTCAAGGCCAGCCTTCTTGGTGTACTTCCGAGCACGCTGAATCTGGAAATCGTTGTTGTTCAAGCCGACGATATTGACGTCGGCGAAGCGAGCAATCTCGCGAGCAGGACCACCGACACCGCACCCGACGTCCAGTACTCGCATGCCAGGGCGAAGTCCCATTTGTGCTGAGAGGTAGTGCTCATGGCGGGCTAAAGAGGCTGTGAAAGCCTCGCCTTTATAGAACCGCGAGAAGTGGAAGGATTGTGCCCAGCCATATTCGTACAGCTCTGTCGCACCATCGTAGTAGCCTGTGGGTTCTGTCGTTAAAAGACATTCACAAAAAAAATTGTGAATTAATACCGTTTACGACGTCGGTGTAGCTCTCAACACGGTTTTGATTGTCCGCTTTACCCTCCTTACCAAGGTCCTTTTGCCAGAACTTGGTATAGTTCTCAACACGCGTCTCTTGACGTCCGTCAGAATACTGAGTTGAAGTCATGTTGTCTGCAAGAAAAAAAATTGCATGAGTATCGATCACTTCCTCCACGAACGAGTTTTCATGAAAAGAACAAATGGTGTTAAAACTTACTTGGATGTGTGTTAGAATAAAAGTTATGAAGGGAACGGACAATAAACACTGAGCAGCTAACTTGAACGAACTTGAATGAAGAAGAGGTTCAACTTGCTGCACTAGCGCCTTATTTTCTGTTCACGTGACTGTCACGGTTACTAGCTGAGGGCGCTGACCCGAAATCATGATTACTTACTACTAGTATCATCAACATTACTACTTGCTATAGCGCGTATGACAGTAAGTGGTTGCATATATAGCCCATAATATTTTGACCTTGATTATATTTCTTGTCCAAGAACTTGCGCAGCTGCATACCGACGTGACCGCCCCTTCCGACGGCGAGTTCAATGTCAGACTTCAGGCTTATATTTCTGAACTTCACACCAGCATCTCTTGCCGCAGGCATACCCCTTTCCGCGGCCTGGTCTTTCTCCCAAGAGGCGGTCCGTCAAATTATCAATCGACCTTTTATAGCCTTTAATTAAGCTTTGATTCTCGCGAGTGCTGCATCTTGATCCGAGGCTATCGTGATTGGTCTGAATCAAAATCCCTTTCGCTGGACTCAGCGATGTTTATTGCGCGGTTGCCATCTGCTTTGATCGAGTCCAGGCTGGGCCAGGGATTCAGATCTCGTGGGCCAAATACATGAAAACCCAGCTCCATGGACCATGATAACGAACTTGGTATGGTACACGACCGTCATTCGGTCATATGATAATCCCCCGTTACAGCCTAATGACTTGGTAGTCAGCTTCCCAGGACCAGGCATCGAAAGGCATCTCAAAATATCCGTGTGCAATTGCCGATCATACAGAGATCATGACGAGCCCGTCCTGAGAACTCGAGAATTTATGGGTTTTCTGACGCCATATTCTTCGCGCCCCGGGAGTTAGCACGCTCCAAACCCATGCGCTGAGGTACACAGGTTTGGCTGTTGACTGTCTCTCACAGGGTTGTCTTTACGTAATGTGTGAGCGTCGATGAGGCAACATGTTACGCTGTGCACTTGCGGGGCGCACCAAGGATTTCGGGCTCACATCGGGGTGGGACCATCAAAGGAAAATGTTTTGGTGTTAACTGAGAACATACCCTGATTTCGTTTCATGATTGTAATTTAGGTAGTACGATGAGCTTGGCGATGAGGACGAGACAACATGAGGCGCCCGATCGCTCGCTAGAAGGCTTGTTACACCCGAAAGTATGGCATTGATAGACCATCTATGTCATGTCACTCTTAAGTTTAGAAACGCAAGCCGGATTTGCCGTGTCACACACTAACTAGACTGGTACTATGCTTGTACCCAATCATCATTACCCATGCTTTATAATTCTTTCCACTACTCCTCTGAGTCTGCACCAAGTAGTTCGTGTAAGTATCCATGTTTTGCTTCCTGATTGACTGCCATAGCATCACTCACCTGAAGTGCAATCTGACAGTCGGCCCGTTGCTTAATATTCGTTGCTTAATTCTACGCAACCCTGCCACTGGCAGGCCCCACACGAGATAAGTAGCGCCCACTGGCCTTTCAAGTAGTACATCCTCGTGATGGACAAGTCTGCATCACCGTTCCAGGTATGATCTCACCTTTGTCTCATGTCGGTTGAGATATGAATCAGGTCATCATGTTCCAGGCTCGTGCAGCACAGCTTCTCAAGAAACTGAACTGGCACCCGCGCTTGGGAGGCAGCCGCTCAAAAGATAACATGTCCATACGAGTCGTCTCAGCCGTCCCAGACAACGATTGCTCACAAATACCCTCTCCTGATGTTCCTCGCAAGCCAGACATATCCACTCCTAGGCTTGTAGGCTTGCGACTAGATGATGCTTTCACTCCAACGGACACGGATGATTCATCGTCTAGCAACAGCCCCACCCGCCAGTCAAGGCGCTACTCAGCTTGGGACGGTCTCACGCAATCCTCTGCGAGCCCAGTGTTTGCGGGACATGGTCCCGCCCCATTATTTTTACGAGAGATAAAGGTCTCAAAGAACTTCTCTGATCAGTCTAGTAATGATGGGGAAAATGTCCTCGCTCCAGCGCCATTCTTCTTGTGGGCAGGCGCGTCAAGCGACTGCCTTACACGTGCATCACATGATGGCTTATCACACTCAGCGACCCCGAGCAACGTGCCAGATATCGTGGTCTTGCAAGACACATCTCCTGTACCAGATGAGATGCCGCCGTTGGAAAGCTCACAGACTCCACAACAAACGGAGGAACCCGTTCCTTACAACGAACCAATCACCACCATAGACATGGCCAACTCATTTGCAGAACCAGAACCCGCTCAAACTCCTTTCTCATCCGCTATTTTGGTTTCACCGGTTATACAGTCTTTACCTTCGTCCAGTGTTCAGACTGAGATACAGCCGATGACGGCCCTTCCACCTCCATTCCGCGTTGCCACCGAGCGTGGCCTCCGTCTCTCTCCTTCCATCATTTCAAGGCACCGTATGCCAATTATGAATCTTCCGACTTTACCTGTGCCTACTCCTACTCCGGTGACCACTGTGCGGCCAGTTGTGCGCCTCCAGCATGTGCCATTATTGAGTGTTCACGGACGGCCCGATGCCGATGCCGATGCCGAGCCAGACTCTGCTATCGAATATGAGGACGACGAGGACGTGGAGGATGAGGACGAGGGTGATGGAGACGAGGGTTTGAGACATGAAAGCTCGGAGCACCAGAGTGACGAGGATGGTGATGGGGAGGAAATGCCGAGTTTGGGTACAGGCCGTTCTTTGTCTCATTCCCCGCTGCGAGAGTTCCAAACCCAAATTGCCGACTTGGCTCTCCCGATCCCTGGTCGTTCTTCTCAACCCTTTGCCTCGCCATCTTCAGCAGGGGGGTCTATCCCCGGTCCTCACAATGCCGTTGATTATTTCTCGTCCAAGGTATATGGGAAACTCCCGGACTTGACTCCGAGGCAGGACGCCGCCCCTATACTTAAACCTTTCTCTCCGATAACACCTCTGGGAGAGTCCGTCAATGTTCGGCAGCGAATAACACCTAATCCTTCGCTTCATCGTGTGCAGCTTTCCCTGGATGTCAGCCGCCCACCCAGTCTGTATCGCGCGCCATCTCGCAGCATGATTGACCTGAGTGTGTCCCGAAGAGACTTGCGACTAAAACGCAAAAAGTCATGCGACACAGTGCATTCGAATGTACCTTCCGTCTCTGAGCATATTGTCGAATCCGTCGAGAGCAGCGACACAGACAAAGTAATGGGAAGGCTTATGCGACGCACATCCATGCCTACTTTCACCTCCGCGTCGCAACCACCTCCATATCCTTCCTTTGACCCGCGCCCGCCGAAGAGTGCACCTCCGTTTCAATTCCATGAGGACGAAGGTCGCGAGCGGTTACCGCCATATAGCAATTCATTGTATCTTAGTGCTATTATGCCGCTCAAGATGGAGTTCAGCTCGCCCGGTATCCAGGCAAAGGACAGGAAATGGAGACGTATGTTCTGCGAGCTTGAAGGGACGGTACTTCGCATTTATAAGTGTCCTCCCGGCGCGAGCGGGGCGGGCATCATTGGCGAGTGGTGGGAGAGACGTGTCGGCGTGGGTGACCTAAGTAGTGGATATCATGCGCCAGTGCGGAAGATGAACGAGAGCCCGGGGCCCTCTTCGAAAAGAGAGGACGAGAGCTCGGCACCCCCTTCGAAGATAGCGGTCGATCAGCCGGTTGCATCCTCGTCAAGTTCACCCCCTCCTACACCGCACAGGACGAGGAGCGAATCGCAATCATCAAGAGCTACGAATCAATCTGTGACGCCTTCGATATCGCGCGCTAATAGGAGGCTGTCCGGCGCCAGCTTCCTCACTTCGTGGCGGTACAATGGCTCATCGAGCGGGCCACAATCGCGAGGAAGGGGTATGACATCTCCTGGGCCATTGAACGGGGGAATGGAACTGCTCCCGGTGAGCGAGCCGAACAGTCGTCGTAATTCTGTGTCTAGTTCGACCTCACAAGAGGCAAATTCACAAAGGACATCGCCTCTGACACCACGAGCTCCGTCTCGCCTCAGCTTCCTCTCATCGAGGATGCAATTGCGGAGCGGCGAGATACAAAAGCCTGGGAAAGGCGATTTGATCCGTGCATATACCCTCCAGCACGCGGAGAGCGGCCTCGGGAATGATTATTTTAAGCGGAAGAACGTCATAAGGGTACGGCTGGAGGGGGAACAGTTTCTCTTGCAGGCAGCAGATGTGGCTTCCGTTGTAGAGTGGATAGAGGTGGGTTCTACATATGAGTGATGCGGTTTAATGTTGATTGTGTATGCAGGCTTTCCATGCGGGCACGAACATCGCACTTGACCTTGATCATCGTGTCATGCCCAAAGGGCCGATGTTCCCAAGGTGTGTTTTATCTTTCTGCTTGATATTGTGTCTTTCTCAAATGTATCTACAGGCGTCGACGGAGAAGAAATAGACGACCAGCAGACGAGAACACTCAGGCTGGTGGTAATGGAGTAGTAATTCCTGCAGTGCTGTAACTTGCCTCGTTCGCATGTTTCTTATGGTCGTTTCTGTTGTACTTGTGTGTTACACAATGGTATGGGTTGTATTGATAGTAGCCCTTGTTGTATGATATTGTCGCTCTTTTTTTTTTTCTTGTTGATAGAGAAAGTTCACACGAATTGTTTCCGTTTTGAGCCGAGGTTCGGTATTTGCCTTGACACCGATCTGCTCATCCAGGTTGCTTGTTATCTGGATCCTTGGTGTTTTCCCTCATCGATATTCTCATTTTACCTTTTCTTTACCTGGTTCTGGCAGCCATCGTCAGCTCAACGACTATCCTCCTCCAAATCTCACAAGCCGTTCAAAAAACGCACCAAAAACTAACTCTACAACGCCGAAAACGATATTCCTTCTCGCGGTTATTTCCCCCGTTTTTTCTCCTCATACCATCATCCTTCACCTCAAGCCCGACGTATTGAGCATATTCAGTTAGACCAGTCATGGCAGATTCGCAGACGGAGATCGATCTGGACTCGGTTATTGACCGCTTATTGGAGGGTGAGTGGCTCGTGCTCTGACTCTTAGGCTCTTTGGAGAGCAGATTTCGGACCTTGAGGGGCAGGGTTGTGGAAGGAAGGAGCATAACGGGTCAGCGTTTGAGGCGGGCTGGTGCAATGCGGTGCACAATTACAGGCATGGGTGACATGTGGGGCCGCGTGCGCACCACAGCAAGCAACCTTGGAAAAAAAGATGGAGTGCACATGCACACACACACAGAAGCGCTCATAACATCCGTACATTTCTAGATGGACCGCCCGTAATATGTTTCAAAGCAGGCGTTAACCTAATTTTTGCATCCAGTGCGAGGCAACCGCCCAGGCAAACCCGTCCAACTACAAGAATACGAGATTAAATATCTTTGCACAAAAGCACGCGAGATATTCATAAATCAACCAATATTGCTTGAATTAGAGGCCCCCATAAAGATTTGTGGTGAGTATCGCTCGGTCATTGTGAGTTCATCGGGATGACTCATTCGGGTCCACCTTCGGCTAGGTGACATCCACGGTCAATATTACGACCTACTTCGACTTTTCGAGTATGGCGGGTTTCCACCAGAAGCAAACTATCTTTTCCTCGGCGACTATGTCGATCGGGGGAAGCAGTCCCTCGAGACTATCTGTCTCCTCCTCGCCTACAAGATCAAGTACCCTGAAAACTTTTTCATCCTCCGGGGCAACCATGAGTGTGCAAGTATAAACCGAATCTATGGCTTCTATGATGAATGTAAGTTGTACTCCAACTCTTGACGATGAAGCTCTGATAGCAGTGACAGGCAAACGGCGTTACAATATCAAATTGTGGAAGACGTTTACGGATTGCTTTAATTGTCTCCCTATAGCTGCTATCATCGACGAAAAGATCTTCACAATGCACGGTGGTCTCAGCCCTGATCTTCAGTCCATGGAGCAAATACGGAGAGTGATGAGACCTACAGATGTTCCTGACACAGGTAAGTTTGCTGTGCATCTTGCTTGAATTTGAGTGTCTTACCCGACCAAGGTTTGCTATGTGACCTATTATGGTCAGATCCCGACAAGGATATCACTGGGTGGTCGGAGAATGACCGAGGAGTATCCTTCACATTCGGACCCGACGTGGTGTCCCGATTTTTGCAGAAACATGACATGGATCTCATCTGTAGAGCTCATCAGGTACGCTGCGCTTTACGGGCAACGTCCATACGGGCGCCGGGTGTTGTGTCGCTGACTGACGCCATGGAATCAGGTCGTTGAGGACGGTTATGAATTTTTTGCAAAGCGGCATTTGGTCACGTTGTTCTCAGCGCCTAATTACTGCGGAGAATTCGACAACGCAGGCGCGATGATGAGTGTGGATGAAACCCTATTGTGTTCCTTCCAGGTACGATATCAGCTACCTTGTATGTTCTTTGGTTGACTTTGACTTTGATATTCAGATCCTGAAGCCTGCTGAGAAGAAGGCTAAGTATCCATACGGAGGAATGAACATGGGTCGACCAGTAACACCACCGCGTAAGCAGAAGAAGAAGGACAGCAAGATGGGCTGAGTCGAGCAGGGCCAGCCGTGCCTTCACTCATTCTCCGGTCGTCGACATTCCCTCTTATCATTCTGTATTGTTCATTGCTGGTTGTAATTGTGCGGTTTACATTGGCGACAAGGCATACTGTAAAGGTGATCATTGGGCTGATTCACCGATGGTAACAAGATGGCTGAGAATGCGCGAGCTGCATTGATGTACGGACGTTTCTGGGTTGCGTGTGGAGGGAAAATTCATTGCAAGTACACCCCGCCATGTTACAATTCTTACATATCTATTCACTCATTGGACTAACCCCCCCACGGTGCCCTTTTGTCCATATTCTGTCCATCATGTTCCGTATTGGCCTTCATGTGCTATAGGTTTTTTTATGCACATGGATTATCCCGTCTTGTGCTCCTAATGCTTCGCCGCAACTGCCAGATATTCTGTGTTTGTTTTTTCTTTTCTTTTTGTCACAGTAAACGTTGTCGAATATTATGAAATTCTGTACATATTCATTCTGACTTGACGTGCGGCGTTGAGCGGCTTTGCAAGGCCTTCCTGTGAACACGATTCTATCGACCCCGAGATTGATGCGTGTCCATATGCCAGCGACTGCGGGGAACACGCGGGGAAGAGTATATTTAACTTGAACTTTGAACAGCCTAGGCAAGGATGGGAGCTACTGGTATTGGCGGGACATATGGCATCACGTCACATGAATTCATTGGCACAACTTAAAACAGACCGCAACTGAAAGTGAGCTAATAATGCCCTTCGTTATACACACGTACTTAGGAGGTAGCATGGTGTCACGTTCTGCATTAAGTTATACGTAATGGATTAATACGCAGCGGGACTCTGAGAAAAATTAAGCTCTAGACACTTCGTTATCCGCGCCTAAAGATTTCTTCTCCAATGAACCGTCTTCGTACACCTCGTGTGCACCCTCTGCCTTGTTAGCAATCTGATCCAGCACATCGTCACCATCAAAGAGGGCTGCAGTTTCTTCCAGGGTCCTGTTCTTAGTTTCAATGAGGAAGAACCATAGGAAGACGAATTCAGCAGCGAGCCAGCAGACGTATACGATCTAGGTATCACCGTTAGAAAAGAACAAGATAGCGTCTGCTAACATACGTAATATTTCCACGACAAGGCGTCCAGTGCGATTGGGTTCACATATTGGTTGAAAATGAGCGCAAGAGAGACGACGAAGTTGAACACGTTGAAGCCCTTTGCGCGAATGCTGTAAGGTAGAATTTCCACGGTGTAGGAGACAATGAGAGGTGTAAACGCCACGTCGTATGCTGCGTAGAAGAGGAATATGAAGGCGATGACAGCGTGTCCGGCAGCGGGGTTACCATGCTCGGCGTACTCGGCGAAACAGATAGCTTGTGCCATGTAGAAGAGTGTCATCAGAGATGCTGAAAGCAAGAACAAGAAGCGACGACCGAGTTTATTGACCATGAAAGAAGCAAAGACGGCCCATCCTAAGTTCCATATTTGCAAGATACCATTGATAAGCAACTGAGTGCTTGAGCCCGTGATGCCGATCTCATTGAAGACCTTTGTGAGGTAGTACGAAACAAGACCGTTCCCAGACCACTGAGAGAAGAAGGCAAGAGCGACGATGATGCGCATGCGTTTCCTATTGCCAGGAGTGGCAATGAGTGACTTCCAGCCGACATTGGTGGCAACTAGAAACATCCGTATGAAAAAGCACAGTGCAGCAAGTAAAACAAGACCAACCAGTACGGTCATACTCGATAGCGGCCTTGATCTCTTCGAACTCGTATAATACCAAAGGATCCTGCCTGATAAAAACGATCCAGGGGGCGAAATGCGATCAAAATAAAGCGGCTCACTCATTGCCATCAGCATGATAGTAGGCGAGGGTCTTGAGAGCCTCCGCCTCATGACCATTTCTAATCAACCAACGGGGTGACTCGGGTGCAAACAGCACAAGAACGAACTGCAGAATGGATGGGATACCCTGAAGGAGGGAAGGCAAACGCCATGCCCATGTGCTGTTGATCTTGAAAGTGCCATACGTCGTCCAGGCAGCACTGATATAAATGATGATCACCGTCAAAGATCCGACGGGCGGGTTCACATGATCAAACTTACATGATAGAACCAGAGTACCAAAGGGAGTTGTAGAGGGATGTCAGGGGAGCGCGGTACGTGGGATACGAAACCTCGGTGACCAACATTGGTGCGGCATTAGCTATACATAGCGTGTCATTTAATCAATTACTTATACACAAGGGGATGGTACTGACCGGCAAAAGTAAGACCAAAACCGATAAGGAATCGAGCACCAATAAACATGCCCACGGACTGAGAGGCAGTCTGTATGGCAGTGGCGATGCACATAATTGTTGCACCAAGGAACACTGTCCTACGACGTCCGATGCCGTCAGATACGTAAGGGGCAAATGGATAACCTGCTAAGCCACCAATATTCTGCCGTGGAATTATTATCAGTGAAGATCATCAATACAAGTACAAAATAAACTTGCCTGAATGGCATTCAAAAGACCTAGTTTACCGCCAGATGGATAGTTAAAGGCAGACTCCCACTGAGGAAGAGACTGCAGTCCATTCATCATACTGCCGTCGTACCCATTTGTTGAGGAAGTGATGAGACTAAGAAAGAATGTTTAAACAGAGGAGTGACAGAAGAGATAAAGGAACGTACAGGAGCATAATCCAGGCGTTGAGAGCGATGAGTCTATGATTCAATTACGTCGATTAGAACCAGAAGCATTCAACAATGTTTGCTTACCGCCTGTTGTTGTACCACTTTCTCCTCTCATCGATGAGATGCGCGAATGAAGCGTCTTGACCGCCAACAGCGGCAGTAACACCACCCATGATTGATCTCTAGAATGAGATGGTGAAGGAGACGGATGAAAGTTATGGACAATCAAATCATTCAGGGAGGCTAGATTTTAACACTTCGAACCAGCCGCGGAGCGGATAAAGTTCGGCAGGAGAGAATTCTCCTGAGGTACCCCGTTGCCCATGGTCCGGGAATCCTCATTTTGTACTTTCAACGAGCCATCAAGACGGGAAAACCATGAGGGTGAGTCTGATCGTTGAACAAGTTAACAATACTACACATTTTGGGAATATGCCGTTATTGGTAAGTTTGGGATGCGCTACTTCCGCATGCACTAAATCAGTTTCCCCGCAATGCACCTTTTCCCTGAAAATAGATAGTTAGTACCTTGATCATCAGACTGAGAGGGCCTGTCACAAGCGGAAGGATCTCCCTATTCAACGTCAATCGAGTCCACGTAGCATAACTTGAGTTCAAGGCCATGGTTTCGGACACGGCTTGCCGATTTTTTCCCGAGCTTCATCTCCTTCAGTCTTTAGCGAGTCAAAACAACTAGTTTGAAATTTTAAACAGGTAGCCGACTCATTCCCAAAGCTAATATCATCATGGAGGGTCAAATGATGCGGCCATATGGGCAGTATTGCTAAGGTCCGTAGTACACTTGACTACTTAAAAAGGCTACAAGGTAGGAATCTCTGGGTTTAGCAGAGAGATTCTCCGATGGCATAAATGAGTTCAAAGGCAGTAACTATCACATGATGCCCTGTGAGGGCTATTCCAACTAAATTACGAATTAAGGGTGAGCAGCGATCGTGCTCAGAAGGTGTGACCTAAAACCGTCTCAGGATATCACTGGCTGATACATCACTTCCCCCAGCTTGATCCCGTACGTGCCCCTCAACGATGGGGGCAGGCATATCCACCTTCTTTCTTCTCCCAAAAGGTACGAAATTGCTGGCTAAACTGGCAAGCGCGCTAGTAGCTGATGGTGCACCCGAGAAATTGCTAGACGCCAATGGAGAGGACCGAGGGACATGGTGAGACGTAGTCCGGCGTCTGTGGAGAAAGATGCTGGTCATCCCTTCGGACAACGAACCTTGTGGAGACGGCGGTCTTCCACTGGTTAAATATTCATGTGGGGGAGATATTGAAGATGAATCATATCCCGTCAGAGCTGTAGTAGCCACTGCTTTCACAGCAGTGGGAGAAGCAGACACGGATGCAAGTGGCGGAAGCCGCACCGCGGAGAACCTAGAAGACGAGGAGCCACGAGATGCACGCGAACCTGGACGCAATGGAGATGGTATATGTGGAGCATGAGTTAATGAAGCAGGCTGTTGTGCATTCGACAAATCAACTTGTGCTGGTGGCGAAGGAGGTGGCGGAGGTAGCGGAGGTAGCGGAGGGGTAGTAGGGGGAGAGACGTCCCGCGATGATGGAATTATTTCCATCGAGTTCTCAGGAGGGGCTTGGGCAAGCAGACGAGACAATGAAGACGGACCAGCAACGGGCGTGGAGTTCGCTCTTGCCCTGATAGGGAAGGACGATGATGTGGGAGGCTGGGTAGCACTGAAAACGCTCTCAAATTCAGATTGGTGAGGCGCTGGTGGTGGGCTAGGAGAAGGCTCGGGAGGATCTGAGCTTGTCTTTCGGTCTGTTTCAGGATCCGATAACGCTGAAACCTTTCTGGCAGCAGGTCTTCGCTTATTCATCTGACCTGCCTGAGTCCAGTCTTCCACCTCCAACATATAATACTTTACCCCGTCGCCTAAACCATATGGATTGCTGGAGGGGTCCTGGTCGGCCGTTGAGGACAAATACGACGGTATGGACCATGCCATACGCACCTTGTTATCAACAATACGTTCGGTAATGGATGTTATCCTGGCCACTATCCATTCTCTCGTTTTCAGCTGGTCCGCGAGGTGGCCAGTAGCCAAAAGAAAGTAATGTGGGAATGACACTATATGTCAAGAACATCGTCAGGAGAAGTTTCATCATCGTAGTAACATAGATACGTACCATTAAACGCCGCCCATGGCTTTGAAATAGAATTCCGGGTTGGAAGGAACAGTGCTAGATCACCTTTGGCGAAATTCCGGAAAGAGATCTTGCCCTTCGCGCGCTCTCGATATTCCTTGCATTGTTTCTGCCACTTCCGAATAATGAAACCTGTTCTGGCCACTGCTTCTAAGAAATGATCATGATCGAAGGCACGTAATGATTCCAGGGCACCCAAAAGATCTGATGGATCGATTGGAGAGGGCTCATCGACTTGCGCACTTGCACTCTGCGCGTGGCGTTGGGTGGATGTGAATGCAGATTCGGCAAGGGACTGTGTGTGCTTCGATGAACTGGGGTGACTAGTGAGATTATGCACGAGAGAAAGTGCTTTGCAATGAGAATTTCGGAAGGCAATCGCGACATCGAGCATCTGAGCAACCAGACGACCACTGTTTTCCAATCGATGCTCATAGTCGGACTGGGAGGATCGTCCAGCTGTCAAGTCATCTCGGAGGATTCTCTCTACGTGCCTTGCCTCCCGAAGCTCATGCTCGACCCGCTGAAGCTCCTCACGCAAACCCATAGCATCTGCATTGGTTAAGTCGGTTTGTGAGCGTGCCTCCTTCAGTTGCCGTTCAGTATCTTCAAGCTGTGCTCTAAGCTCCGAGAATTGGTGTTCAAGAACAGCCCGGTCGCCGTCAGCTTCGGCGATGTGATCCCGCATAATGCGATCGTGCTCGTTAGCTTGTAACCGAAGTAACCTATCTTTCTCCACGTTTGTATTCTTCAGCGCTCGGTTCAACTCGTCGCATTCAGAGCGAGCGGTTTGGATCTGGGTCTCCAGATTTTCCCCTCTGGCACGTGATGCTTCCAGATTCCGTAGAGTCGTTGCTTGCTCCTCGACTAGCTGAGCAATTTTTGACGCATTCCTAGCTTCCAAAGCTTTGACTTCCTCCGATTGCAAGCGGACCTGCGATAGCTCCTGCCTCATTACTTCAACTGCACGTGTCTGTTCCGTTGCATCAACGAGTGCTAGGACACGATTCTGTCGCTCTTTTTCGAGGTCTTGGGCCAACTCCAAATTACGGCGCTCCAATATGCGTCGGGCTGCAACCTCGCTTTCAATCTGCGCTTTGGCTTGGTGCAGCTCACGCTCTAGTATGTCTGCACGTTCGCGCTCGGAGTGAGATATGAGTTCAGTGGCTTGAAGATCGCTATGGAGTCGATGTATTTCAGCCTGAAAGGACGTCCGCTCTTGCTGCATCAGCTTTTCCTGGTTTTCCTGGGCTTCTTGCATTTCGCGTAGTTGCTCAGCCAGTTCCTGAAATGCGTGTTCGTCCGCTTCTGTTACTGTGACTTATGTAAGTGCCAATATTAGAACAAAGATAGAAAGATATCGACTTACGCCTTCTGCGTGACGAGGACAGTCGTGATGCCGAAAGTACTTGCACAAAGTTAGCTATATATGAGTCTGGTGATTTATTTTACTCACGAGAACGCTCAGCAATACGGTCGAACCCAGCTTCTAGATTATCCATCTTGGCTATAAGCTTATCCACTGCACTTCTCGCTTCCTGTATTGAGCCCATCGCCACAGGGTCTGAACTTGACCGCGCCCATAACTCCAGATCGCTCAGGACTTGAAGCAGCACTAGTATTTTACTATGAGTTGAGTTTGGCCAATGCGCCAGTGGAAAAACAATACCATCGATGTCTTCGCGTTTCAGTGAATACGACGGCTCTTTGCTACCAGAAGGAGAGAAGTCGATGCTCGGTACAATATCGTCCATGCCTTTCGTATCGAAAGGCAGTTGACCATGTACTTCCCCTCTATACACCTGTCGGCGCTTCCGCTCGCTTGCACTGCAGACTCATCAGGAGTTGTAACGTACAACTTTCATGGACTTACGACAGCTTGGCCATCACTTCCAAGATGCTTTGCGCGCGCTGATAGAAAAAGTGAGCTGCATTTGAGAGATCAGACATGGAGTCACGCAATACTGCGTTGACTGACCAAATTCCTTGCGTCGCACGATCTCAACGACAGTGGCGCCATATGCATACAGCATATTATGAAGCCTCTGTATGTGCGAGAAGCTGTTTTTAGCCCTGAATTTACTTTGGAGGTTGGAGAGGCTCGTTGGCAGCTGCACGATGTCAATATTCAAGGCGCTGATTTGCCGAAGGACACCGATGCATTGCTCAGTATATGCGTTCTGTAAAACATCAGCAGGAGTATTTCCATCGACTTTGAAGACATACCTTGGCTTCGGTAACAGCTCGTACTTCGTTTCGCAGTGCACCATCGAGATGTTTTAGCTCTGAAACATGATTACCTTGTTAATTCGTCTGTGAATTGGACATACCACGAAGAAGGCTATTTGAATCCGTGGCAGGACTCTCAAGAGCTGCTGTAATGTCTGATGCCTTTTCGAGAATCTCCTGCGCCCGACGCCCTGAAGCGTCTGCACCCTCCAGAATTCTATGAACGAGTGAGATGAACATACTATCATAGAATAAGGAACACCGACTGCGTATTCATTACTGTTGCGCGTACAGAATTAGTTCCGTTCGTTAACCTGGCTGCCGACTTCTCAGCGTCTTGGAATTGAGCCCGGAGGTCCTCTAAACCAACAACATAAGAAAGTCATCACAACTTTTTTTGTCAATTACGTACCATGCGTCCTCGCACACGCGTCAGCGACCTGTTTCATCTTCACATTCGATACATAATCACCCAGCGTCCTCGGTCGCTCTCCGTTCTCAATCGCGGTTCTCACAGCAGGCGACAAAAACTCAGCATGTATTTTCACGCGGCTTATGATCTCCAAATCCGCATCCAGACCGGCAAGGAGCGCAGCCTGTCGCTCGAGGTCCTTGCGAGCCGTCGTAGTAATGCCATCGAAAACATCAGCTATAGCGAGAACATTCAGTTCGAGGCTGCTGGATGCAATTTGAGCTGCTTGATGTTGACGGTGAAGGGTGGCTACGGTATGGACGATGTGTTCGAGGTGCGTATGTGCTGTGCGAAGGTAAGACGCGGCGAGTTGCGAAGGTCGATACGGAGGAGTCGTGGAAATTGAATCTGTAGTACTTTGCTGACGTCAAAACATCGAATATAGCTCAAGCCACGCACCTTCAATCGGAGGTTGCAGTGGTGGGTTAACTCTTAGCTCGTGAAGCACGTCGTTTAAGTCAAAATCCAAATAATACTTGTTGAAAACATAGATAGTCTGCTCTTGAAGTTAATATCTTTGCGTTTACAGTAAGAATATGACTCGCCTGGTCATGTGCACCCACTAGCTCACGAACATTGTCAGTACGCAAGCGCGTACCATCCGAAAGGTAAGCCAAGATGGCATCCTGATCAACGCCCGTCTCCTGATTCAAGAATGCCTCTAGGCTTCCTCGCCTTCAAAACAACTGTTAGTGGGGTGTAAAACTGGGTTTGGTCATAGACTTACCTCTCAATGTCTCGTAAGTTAGCATTGACCTGTTGTTTGACGTAAGTTTTGCGAGTCTATGAGATCGAAGACTCTGGTGCAAGATACCTGATATGATTCGCCGTCTTCCGCACGACATATCTGAATCATTATCCTGGTGTACTGACAATATTATGGTTCGACGTTATGCTGCCAGCTGCCGACTCGGGAGGCAAAGTGGCACGGCCACATGATGTAAATGCTCCCGCTAAGGGAAAACTACCCCTAACCATATGATATCAGAAAATATGTTCATTGTGTCTATATATTGTCCAATAATACAAGGTGAATATGAATTAGAAAATACCCGTCTATATCATGTTATTGATCCTGTTATGTCGCTAGATCTTCCTGATGTATATCACTATCATCTGCAGTCTCTATTGAAACAATCCAATATAAGTCACCCGTGGGCTGCCCGTCGCTGCGTTCTCCGTCTTCTGGCTTTCTCCGTCTGCAACAAACAAACCTGACAGGATGTCTATCCCAATATTTCATGAGGTCGAATGTCATACCACCTGAAAGCCTTAAGGCAAGAGTCGGGTTGAATTGCAGATAACCATAGCAAAAATCTGTCGTGATCAGATCCTAAAGGAACTATCAGTAGACAGTAGTTAAAATGATGAACGACAATACCTCAGGTCCAAATACAATCTCTCGCCGACGTTGAGGACTGCTAAAGTATGATCTACGTTCGCCTGTAGTCCGTAGATCCAGCGCACGACTAAATATCTTCTGCTTCTTATTTTTCTTCAAGTGCACTTTTTCAAGAGGCAACCTAAGGGAATTATTTACCGATACGTCCAATGAACCAGGCATTTTGGGCAAATTCGAGAGGTTAGACGAAGATGAGGCAATTGATAATGACGAGGATGGGGTCAAATATGTAGAGCTAGAAGAAGTTGAGGACGCAATGGCAAATTGCAACTGCGAGGTATTCTCTCCTATCGATTGTGAGGGTGGAAACGAGGACTCCGACCGTCTGTGCTCTAACAGGGGCGAAGCTCGGATATCATCTATTCTTTCATGCACAAAATGGGGCATCGTTGCGATCAGTGGTGAAAGGGCCCATGGCTTTGTCTGCGACATCAAGTCATGTTCCAAGGTAGGATCAACGTATCTAAAGTTATTATTAGCTCCTATCGCTGCACCGTAGCATCTGATTCTAACACGACAAATACTCACTTCATGAACTTGAGCGCCACACCAGCACCCCAAGGCAACTTTAAACGTTTGTCGAACGTATTTCCAAACATAATGTCATCCGCTGAAGTCGGTTGTAGGAACCGGCCTAAAACAATTACCACACGGACCGTCAGGATAAAACGAACAATATCCGAAGCGCTTAGTCTCACCCTGAACCTGAATACTCCACGTGATCCCTTTCCTATCTTCTCGGTCAAAGTACTCCGCGGGAAGCTCTTCGCCAGAGGGATTGGTGAAACCTTTGATGTTGATGGCGACTTTCCCTTCGAACAATTCCGAGAATATATCGTGCGCCTTTCCGCTGTTCACTTTGTCTGTGATGCAAACAAGCTTGTCCATCGATGGTCCAACACGCACCCGCAGACGAGAGTGAGACATGGCTATTTAGTCACAAGGAATGAGCGGAAGCAGAAAAGGGGGCAGTGCACATGTGACAATAGAGTGCGACACAAGATCTTAGTCGTATAGGATCTAAAGAGAAGGAAGGACGTATAAGACCAGCTTGCCGTTGTCGTTGTTCGGAATGAAAGTTATTATCATATGCCAAGTCGACACTGGAACAGCAGTTTCAAAAATTTCACGTGAACTTAGCCAAAAGAGGGAATTGATGAAGGTCGTCGCGTCCACACCGGATTCCCTGCAACCGCTATAGCTACTATGTACAAAGTGCCTGACACTTTTCAAATATTTATTTCGTATCTTTGCACTGATTGTATTTATGCGCATGCAAAAAGAAATAAAACAAGTTTAAGAAACTTCAGTTTAACAAGACTCAGAACTTTAGCAAACTCACTGTGACGTTATAACGTGATTTCTACTGAGCTTCGCAGACCTACTAGACCTGTACAGACTTGTAAGGGGGAGAATAGCCAGCAGCTGCATCAACGATTCAATAGGAGAGCGGATCTAGATCCACTACAAAAAATGGAACATCTGATGGCTGATAGCTCACAGCATACACACGATCATCGCAAAAATGATACGGACTAGGTTCAAATTCTCATCACAGTACACACGAGAAGGCATTGAATGCACAACGGTTGACCGTCATAAAAACAGGATACTGATTGATGCTGTGAATGTAGTAAGAATGAACACAAGTCCAGAGTGGTAGCCCGCACACCTATGTGAGCAGATCCGCATATAAAACAAAAACTAAATAGCCCCAAAAAATGATGAAACGCGATCAACCAACAAATTGTCCCAACAAATCGACCCTATGACGAAATTGAAGTTGATAGCAAACCCACAGCCAACAGCACAGCCCAGGTCCCTCCCACGCTGGTCAACTCGACACCCGGCGGCGCTGACGAGGATGCCACGGTTGAACTTTGAGCGTAAGGCGACCCACACACATTGTTCAGTTTGGTTGCTGCGTCACCGTACGTAGCCTGCAATCCTGCCAAGCTGGTGGCGTTTGTACTGCTCAGAGCAGTCGAATACATTGTCATGAGACTCCTGGTGCAGGAGTTACATGCCCCACTGGTGATTTGTGGCACTGCAAGTCCGAGGGGTAGCTGATAGAAATAATAGCTGGAAGGATCAGAGCTTGCCACAGCTTCGATATAACAATATGCATTTGCCACGGGATCCACAGAACACGCTGCTTGCCGCATCAAGTCAAACGCTTGAAGACCTGGGTAAAGTATTCCGTTGTCAGAACCCCAACCAGCATCGCTATTATTCATATCATACCTGTTAATGCACTGACTGCCATGGCGTTTTGCTCACTCAAATCGGTATCACATGAAGAACGCAGTGATGATGCAAACCATGCCATGTTCAGGTCACACTGATTTGAGGAGATGTTAGTGTTGCAGGTTCCCCAAATGTCCGTATTCGTTGCATTTATATCATCTTGTTCCTGCTTGTGAAACAATCCCAAAGCAGTGATGTTGAACAGTGTGCGGGACGCCATCTAGGAAAAAACATACCTGTATAAATGCTTGGGAATGAGTGAGCAAGAGTGAGAAGGGTCGGCAGGATCGTAAAGCGTCTGTTTGTGTCATATTAAGGAAGAAATTGTAGCAGGATGTGGTCGAGAAATGTGACGACAAAGTCGTGTCATAGGGCTGGGGAAACGGAGTTGGCAAAGTTGGATTTACTGGAACAGTGGGTGTGGGTGTGGGGGTGGCCGGAAGTGTGCTCCTCTTGATGAAGGGCGAGGTGCTTGTGTCAGATACTACTGCGAGTTGTAGGAGGTTCTCGATAGGTTTGTGCTTCTCATGCAGTGACCAATCGGTCAAGCTTTTGGTCCACGATTTCCACCCGTAGGTTGGGGTTGGCGAAAAGGCATCGAACGCCATTGGATGAATAAATAATCGTGTGGACACGCCAATTGCGATGAGAGTTATTGGTACCAATATGATCGTCCAGCGAAGAGTAAGGGTATATTTTTGCTTGGAGTGGTATGAGCATGTGGGGAACGCAGACGGGTTAGCGTGTGTGGGGGTATCGTTAGTCATTTCCAGCTTGAGCAATTCAGAACTTTTGAATGGGAGAGGTGACGGGGGAGGCGTAAACATATCCAATATTTAACTGACGAAATATAAGTGTAATGAGCGTTGATTCGAAAAGAGTGTGGACGTTGGCTCGACAAGGTCACTGTCAGAGGGGATCTGGCAATGTGCAATGTCACTGAGAGAATGTTTTTAGCATAGACAAATAAATGTTTTCAACGAGCTGGCACTTACGTTTAGGTGAATATGTGGTAGTTAAGAGGGAAGGACACGGAAAGTTTATATCGCGAAGTTCAGCGCGCGTTGGCGCTCGCGCTTAATCCCGACGGGGCAAGCTGCGGAAATTCAAAGCACATGCCTGATGATGCCACGTCTGATTAAACGTTCACATGAATGTCGCCCTCATTCCTCGTCGTCTGATTTGCAGTGATTTTCAACCCATTTAGGTCGCCGCGTCGTTTCCCATCTCCTTCTGTTCCTTCATTTTGAGACTTTCCTCCTTATCTCTTTTAAAATGGCGTACCTTGTACTCTTTTCGTAACAGTCTGGACTCGGTCTGGACCGAAGTTCTGGCTTGAGTTTCGAGAACCTGAGCAGATCATCCTCCACAACCCAGAGAAATAATACAGCTATGTAGAAGGCACCGCGTTCCTTGTTTCAAGGACTGACTACGGAAACTCAATACAGTGGATCCGCGCTGCTTGTAGGCCGTTGTCAGGTTTTTTTTTGGTGTGTTTACCTTCTCTCAGATTTTTCATATGGTGGAGCTTCGGTTGATAAGTAATCCTCGAGACTGTTAAATTGGCCCAGCTCCATGGTGTCGGCGTCAGCGAATCCATTCAATTTCATAGTGCCACCTTGCTGGCGCATATGACTTCTAGCTTCTAATTTCAATCTGCTATCCTTCGGATGATGACCATGATACCGTAGAGCGACACTCAGACACTAAGCATTCCATGACCCAAGTATGCTAGCAGTCTTGGATCGCTGCACTATGAAAGTAAGTGATTGCTTGAGCCCTCTGGCCATGGTTCTTGGCAGAAAAAAACTTTTAAACCTATCGCTTATTCAATAGGGCCTCAAAAACATATCTGTATTTCACACTCTTTAATACAATTGTCATGCAACCCGATCTTTCCCCCCTTACACTGGTTGTCGGTACGTCCACGATCTATGACATCTGTTCCATAATTTGATTTTGAACATTGTCACATACTGGGAATCAAAAAATAGATCCACCGCCTGAACAACATTTGTTAAACATTTCCATGCGAGCCTAGACTCCGGGTCATACCATCTACAAGGATATCAGCCCCATTGATGTACCTCCCCGCACGACTGCAGAGGAGCACCACAACACCTGTCAGCTCGCTCGGGTCCCCCATGCGTCCCATCGGGTTTCTCGAGTACCATAGTTCCCTAACTTCTTCAAGTCCTTGTCCTTCATTCAATATTGTATCCATATACCCTGGGCTGATGCTGTTGACACGGATGCCATACCGAGCCCACTCGGCAGCCAGAGAGCTCTTTAGCTGCAGGAGCGCGCCCTTGGAAACATTGTATGAAACTTGTGGCTGAGGAAAATTGACACTGTGGCCAGATATAGATGCTGTAAAGACGATGCTACCACCTGTCCCTTGTTCGACCATCTGTCTTTCGGACTGTCAGGCGGCGAGTTTCGAGTTTAAACAGGGTTGATTACTTTGCCACTGCTTGGGCACACAACCAGCTTCCTGTCGTATTGATGTCAAGCGTACGCTTCCACTCTTCAAGAGCAACATCAAGGGCGTGGTTGCAAGCGACCACACCTGCGAAGCATAGGAGAATATCCAAGCTTCCAAGCTCATCAGCAGTCTCAGCGACGGCCGCTTGAACAACCTGCTGATCGCGGACATCCACTTTTTTCGTAATGATCTTTGCCGATGGGAAATCAGAACGCAGCCTCTCAACAACATTTTGGGCTTGCGCCAGATTGACGTCAAATAGCGACACGCCCGATGCGCCATGTTCCAAGAGGGCACGTGCTGCCTCGATCCCAAGGTTGCCACACCCTCCGGTGACTGAGGAATTGCTTGATGTGAAGATCGGTACACTTGGCACTATTATACCCACCGATCGCATTGCCTTTGACAGAAAACCTCGCCACCGCCTTTTCTGCTACCGTAAGGTCCCTTGACAAGGGGGTGTGCGGTCTGGTTAATGGATTGGAATTGTGAGAAAGAGTCATCTGTGGGAGGACGCGACTGGTAAGTTCATCTCTGGATGTTGGCGCAGGGCCCATGACTGGTGCACAGTGATTTGCAGGAGGGGAAGCGACGGCTTTAGAGTCGCGCGGTTTCTGAGTTTGATGCGACTTCGCCAATTCACACGATTACGGAAGAAACGACTGCCTTCGATTAATCTTATTACATAGGGGAGACTACGGTTACGGCGCCCTAGCGATGCTTTTCCACAGTGGATTCGAGTAATTCATCACTTACGTTTGCATCACGGCGCTACACGCTTGATTAAAACACAATGTAAATTGTGCACACTTGGTGGACTGATGCTACAGTTAGGCAAGTAAAACCTCGAAACGACATAGGGTCTACGACCCCAAAACACAATAAATTTGAATTACTGTTCTGTGAAGTAATATCTACCAAGCTCTTCCGGAGACTCCTGAGGGATCGAAACTGCTATTATATTCAAATACCAAAATGCTTCAAGATGGGATACAGACGAGATATTCAGATGAATTGATGGTAATGTCAGATGCATGATTTTCTGGCCTGCGTTGAACACACTTTTCCCCAAGGTCTTTACAACTGATCCGTCAGTTCAGCAAATCTCATCGAGCTTTTCTTCCAAGTTTGAGAGCTAGCTCTCGGTAGGGCGCCTCATGTCTTCAATCCAACACAGAGCTGAAGCATGTCAGGCATCCTCCCAGCAATCATAGTCAATACTCGGACGCGAGAGTCATGATCGCGTCGTGACAGCCAATATTCGCACCTTCCGAGCAAGCAGTAGTGACAGTCGTGTTGCACCAACTCCTACTATGACTATATCTATCACAGGAGCTGAAATATAACATAGGGTGGGCTCCCATATCTAATACATAATAGATAGTCAGATTACCACGAATACCGGCACGATACTCACTTCCTGCGGTAAGCCCGTTGCGTGCACAAGAAATAAGCCGATCCCCTTCGTTTTAACATCGGCCTACTACTTGCCCTTTTCGCGGACACAATTCCGTAACATCATTTCGCTTGTGACCACGAAATGGCCGTCCTCCACTTGCTGGACCTGCTGTTTCATCGATTCAAGTCCCAGCTTCTTGATATCTCTTTGAGGTATGAAGAGACGGCTTGGGGACTGAAAATTCATTGAGGTGACTATGGAATTGGCTGTAGGTACTTGTAAACGCCAAGTACGTTATCGGTCCGGAGCTTGAGAGGCAAGCGGACCTGACTCGGATGTACCCTTCATGAGGCTTAAATAGCACCCTTTGCACCGTCATGATTGGATCTCAACCGATGCGAGATGGGTGCTTATTTGTGCCGCAATATTATTCAGAGCATACCAAATTCACATTGAGAAAACGATGCTTATTCGACGTAGCCCGCAGCCACCGAGTTTTTTCTTCTTCCGAGCAGCTAGAATGAAGTGACTGCTTGCCAACACGTGTAACTGTGACGTCTGACGTACCCTCACACGAGGGAGTGCAAGCTAATCGCAATCATAGAATAGTCAGCGTGGCCATCACAAAATATTTGTTATGTGTACCTTCTGTAACTGCCAACAGAGTCTTGAGACCTAGGGATGAGAAATCGTGTCACCAAGAGGCCCGGCTCCTACGTTACGAGGGCCGACGTGTCACGCGAGTTTAACGTTGTTCAGGACCGGGCAGAGGTGCAGCAGTCGTAAGAGGTAAGCGGGTCCAATAGTGGGTCGTGAGAAAACGGGAAACCTTGAATTCGATGGCTTTGTAGGAATGAAACCAACTGCTTTGCACTTGACCAACTAGTACTCTCAACTCAAACATCCTTCAAGCCTTTAAGCCTTCAACAACTTCATCGTCAGCCTGTCGAATCATTTTTGGCGTGATCAAGAAACAAAGGAGTTACCGATCCACAAATACTAAACCTCAGTACAGACGCGTGGCTGATAAAACTAGCCCTGCCTTTTACATCGTCCAATAACGACTACCAATATCTACTCTCCGTGACCGTTAACAACAATTCGTGAACATGTCTCAATCGGCAAGACCATCTACATCTACATCCACCGCGTATGCCCTTCTTTCCTGTTTTTAACTTATCTTTTTCTAATGTAAATTTGATTTCTTAGCTCATCCGCAACTCCTACTGACGCTTCATGGAGGGCGGGTCTTCGTCCACCACCAAAAGATTTGCGCCCACAAACAGAAGATGTCACAAACACCAAAGGAACTGAATTCGAGGATATGTTCCTCCGTCGTGAGCTCCTCATGGGCATTTTCGAGGCAGGTTTCGAAAGGCCATCACCTATACAGGAAGAAGCCATCCCTGTTGCCCTTACCAAACGTGACATCCTTGCTCGTGCTAAAAACGGGACAGGAAAGACCGCTGCTTTCGTTATACCCTCATTACAGCAGATTGATGTTGGCAAGAATAAGATTCAAGCCCTACTCCTCGTCCCTACTCGCGAACTTGCCCTCCAGACATCCCAGGTCTGCAAAATATTGGGAAAACATATGGGTATCCAGGTCATGGTGACCACAGGCGGCACGACCCTCAAAGATGATATCATGCGCTTATCAGAGACGGTTCATGTTCTCGTTGGAACACCGGGACGCATCCTGGATTTAGCAGGCAAAAACGTTGCTGATCTCAGCGAGTGTCCTGTCTTCGTCATGGACGAGGCAGACAAACTTTTGTCGCCTGAGTTTACTCCTGTCATGGAGCAATTACTCTCTTTCCTTCCTACGGATCGTCAGGTCATGCTTTTCAGCGCAACCTTCCCTATGATGGTGAAGGATTTCAAGGTAGGCTCCCTACGAGTACTGCCTTTGTTACCAGTGTTTAACATGTTTCCTTTGTGTAGGACAAACGCATGAGAACTCCTTACGAGATCAATCTCATGGAGGAGCTGACCTTACGTGGTGTTACGCAGTATTACGCTTATGTCGAGGAGCGACAGAAGGTCCACTGTCTGAACACCCTTTTCTCTAAAGTAAGTTTCTGCGCATCACCCCCTTTCCATGCTGACAATCCACTTCAAGTTGCAAATCAACCAATCCATTATATTCTGTAACTCTACCAACCGTGTCGAGCTCCTCGCAAAGAAAGTAACAGACCTCGGGTATTCCTGTTTCTACTCGCACGCAAAGATGCTTCAGTCACATCGTAATCGCGTATTCCACGACTTCCGCAATGGAGTCTGCCGCAACCTCGTCTGCTCAGACCTATTGACCCGAGGAATTGATATCCAGGCAGTTAATGTCGTGATCAACTTTGACTTCCCCAAGAACTCGGAGACGTACCTTCACCGCATTGGTCGTTCCGGTCGGTTCGGACATTTGGGTCTTGCTATTAACCTGGTCACTTATGAAGACCGTTTCAATCTATATCGCATTGAGCAGGAGCTTGGCACCGAGATCCAGCCAATTCCCCAGTCTATTGACAAGGGCCTTTATGTCGCACCCAGCGCTGCTGAGGAGCCTGCCCCGCAGAAGTCCCAACCTCAACCCCAGTCCCAGCCTCAGCCACAGCCGTCCCAGCAGCAGCGACAGCAGGCACCTTCTCAGCAAACTTCAAGTAACGGTCGCCAGAACGGCGCAGCACCTGCACCGTCGCAAGGGCAGCCAGCTCAGCGAGCTGGTTATGCCAACCAGGCAGCGTACCGCAACGGTACTCCTACACGATGAGCTCATTCTTTTATGTTACATGTAGGAGGAGGGGGAGGAGACCATCACCACTCGAACATCATTTTCATCCTTTATCGTCAGCCGTCATCTCGACACCTCGTATTCCAGGGGGTCGTGTCTATCTTTGTTCGACATCACTTGTCCATCCATCTCACTGCTCTGGCACCCGTCACATCTTGCGCTCTGTCCTTTTTTTTCGCGTCTGTTTTTGCGTGTCCGATTATATATATCATATTAGGTTATACTACGCTCCTAGTCTGGTCCCTACGTACTCCGATCGGGAGTCGAGTTTTTTGCTGGTGGTGAATGATGTGGGTGGTGGTCTTGGTGTGGTTGATGGGTGTGGTGTAGGGGGTTGGGGTCGAATATGTTTGTGTAGTTTTAACTTTGTCTGGCGCCATGTTCTGTGTCAAACATTGTTAGGACTGCCGGTACCGTGACAATACAACTCCTTCCTCACATTTTCCGAGTTGACGCATTCTATCCAACTCTCGAGGGAGACACTTTCACCGCGCGGTGGGTAATCGACGTTGGTACTATTACTTGGTCGTGACCGGTCATGAGGACGGCACTCGAGTCCCAAACGGCTGTCTCTCTTCTGACGACGTTATCGACATATTAATATTGCTTGCGTGGATACAAAGATAAGCTCGATTTAAAGCTACCGATCAGCATCCGAGTAGGATAAGAAGTTGGTATGAACGGGCACGATTTGTTTTGCATTTGGCCGTATTGTTTGGGATCAGTACATCTATCTCAGTTCGCCCCAGTGTCTAAGCCTTATTACATTCATTCGAAGGTCAGAGGGCTCTCCATGGCAAGAGCCGCAAAATAGCCCATCCCCACTTTAATGCCCCGGAGAGCCCAGAAGCAAGCGACCCTATCGACTTCCTTGACTTATTGAGGATCAGCTTCGCGTTGCTAATGTTAGGTTTTGTTTTCCAGCATGAATTGCTACAAGTTTGTTCTCTGTGGGAGGTGCCATGAAATTCTCCACCTTTGTGCAAGTGACAAAGTAATGATTCATTATTTTACTTCCTCTGACACTGCGAGATGCCGATTTTCTGGTATCAGCCGCGGTATGAAAAGAATCAAAGGCCATATTCTCAAGCTTTCATTAGGAGGCATATGTCAAGTTTACCCTGCAAAAGATCTATTCAGTAAGTTTGATACAGGGAAGATAAGCGAATTGTGTTAAATAGTACGTGTAATTTGTACTTCTCGTGCCCAGAATCCATACGACCAATCGCGACTGATGAACTTTGCAAGAAAATTGGTCAAAGCACTCGAGGTTCCTCATATTCATGGGGAGCGTGCTCCCTCCGGCCTGCAATTCGTTTCGGTGAGTTTTTAGGTTCTGACTAAGGATGATTTAGGCTTATTGCATGGTCCCTTAGAGCGATGATCTACTGCCAGTTCCATTAGAAGAAAGAACATGGACTGCATTTAGTTATGTCGCTTTGTGAGGACTGCAGTTTGTTCGATTGACTGCATGACTAACAATCTTGTCCACCAGCTGGGGGACCACGTCAGTGAGTAGTGAATTGTCACAATAACACACAAAATTTATGAAACTCTACTTGTAGATCAATGTTTCAACGTTAGTTGCAATTTTTCAGCTTACAGTATAGCCTCATATGGGTTCTTCGATAGTTGGATGATAACCTCTAGCATGATTGTCCTCGGCATGTCGTGGTGGCAAGCTTGGCTGGCAATCTGGATTGGTTATGGTGTGATCACGCCGTTTGTCGTCCTGCTGGGTCGACCGGGTGCTGTATTCCATGTAACCTTCCCTGTCGTCAACCGTGCCAGCTTCGGAATATTTGGAAGTTTGTGGTGTGTATTCAACAGAGCGACAATGGCATGGTAGGTACGATGTCTTTCGCGTCGTGCTGTATTCACTTCGTTGCAGTGTCTGGTATGGGGTGCAAACAAGTATTGGCGGTTCATGCGTCTTAGTGATGCTTCGTGCAATGTGGCCAAGTGTTAACAATATCCGTGAGTTTAATGATGAGTTGCTTTTTCGTGATCTGATGTATCTTATACGATGAAGCAAATTCGATGCCGTTGTCCTCTGGCACTAACACCAGGGATTTTATGTGCTTCATCATTTTTTGGGTTATATCTTTGCCCTTCATATGGCCTCCCGTGCACAAAATGTACGTTTAGAAAAGTTCACTTGGAAGGATTACTGCTGAGCTTGCCACAGTCGTCACTTCTTCACGTTCAAGATGATAATTGCTCCCGTTGCCTGTATCGCCTTTATGATTTGGTGCATCGTCAAGGCAAAGGGCGTTGGACCAATTGTCAAGCAGCCAGCAACTATCCATGGCTCAGAACTAGCATGGGCCATTATCAGTAGTGCTTGCATTTGCATCAGTAATCTCACAACACTGTTGACGTATGGCTACTGTGCTTTCATTCATGATATCCATAATCTTACCATATCTGCAGGAACGCACCAGATTTTGGATCACGGGCGAAGACTCCATCTGCGCCGATCATTTCCCAGCTCTGGTCCATCCCCTTTTCTTACGGTTTAATCTGCCTCTTCGGTGTGATCGTCAGCTCCTCGTCGCAAACAATTTATGGGGAAGTGATCTGGTCACCCGTGGATTTGCTAGGAAAGTTCTTGGACAATAACCCATCCCCTGGCACTCGATTTGGCGTGAGTATGAACAACGCAAGGTTGTTTTGCACTGACGAGATGGCGATCATAGGTATGGTTCATCGCTTTCTCTTTTGTTATAGCTCAGGTAGGCACCATACTGAGTCCCTTAAAGACCAAATGTTGATCAATCTCAGATAGGGTATGTAATGGACGCACGAGTCGCTGGTATAGCTCATGCCTTATACCCTGCCCATTTCCAGAACGAACATCTGTGCTAACTCGGTCAGTGCGGGTTGTGATCTGACAGCGCTGTTTCCACGTTTCATCGTAAATCCTCCACTTCATGCACTTATGTCAGGAAGTACTTATATTCATCACAGAATATCAGACGTGGCGGGTATATATCAGCCATTATCGGACTTGTCATGTGTCCCTGGAACCTAGTAAAAAACAGCAGCCGTTTTTCTTCCTATATCTCTGCGTACTCTGTTTTCATGAGCGCGATCGCGGGAGTCATGGTGAGTGGACCTCCTATCTATTTTATTTTTGACTTAATATGCAGCCCTAGGCCACCGAATACTATTTTGTGCGCAAGGGACATTATAACGTCGCTGACCTCTACGTCACCCGCAAAGGAAGTTGGTATTGGTACAATTATGGTTTCAATCCCAGGTCTGTGGGGAGACTAATACTGTTGACTCTACATCGCTCACTTGAGTTTAAAGAGCGTACGCAGCATACGTAGCAGGCATCGCCATCAATGTAGTGGGATTCGCTGGGGAAAGTACGTCTTTTGAGTTTGTATTTTGCTTGCGATACTCATGGTTCCACAGCTGGAACGCCCGTACCGGCTGCGGCGACTCACATATTCGATTTGTCCTTCTTCACAGGATTTGGTACTTCAAGTATCGTGTACTATTTATTGAACAGGATGTTTCCGGTTCCTGGAGCTGCTGACGTGTTTGAGGAAATAGATGTGTCTGGGTACGAGGAAAGGATGACAGACTGCGACGAAGATAAGGACTATTCCACAGAGAAGGAATCATCTACCGTACAGATTTGATGGACTTCGGAGGTAGACTTGAACAGTGTTGATGAATCCATGGAGGATGATCGGTTCGAGTTGAATGGCCTGTCGTAACGCTGTCGAAGGACATTCCTGGCAAGCGAGCATAGAAGTGCCAGGGCGGCGTGGTATGTAGTCACTGCCAATAAATCATGCTCGATTGAGGAATGGTGCTCAACTTCTGTGACGATGGAAGTAAGAAGTGCTGGCAGGATGAGGTAACTTAAATTCATCGACAAACATTCTCGGCAGGATGATTGCTAACTCTTTGAAAGTTCCAGAGTGGTGATCACGACTCGCGAGGAAGCAAGTTGCAATTAAGGTATGGTTCGGCACCAGCGTCGATCGAGTTGCTTACACGATTCAAGAGGGGGTGGATGCCGTGTCCGTCCCCTGAGGATTGCGCATATAAATGATGTTACGATTGATGTTTAAAGACCAACTTCTCCTTGCCTCCCCAACGTGAAATCTCAATCATGATGCCCGACAGCCTGAGCGGTGCCTTTGTAAATGTGCAAAACAGTGACTACGTGTTGGCGACGTACAGAGACGGCGATCACGAGAGGATCAAAGGCAAGGCCTTCGACCAGACCAACAAACACAGGGTTAGTAAGTAGCTAAAGACGAGGTTCTGACCCTGGCGCTGGTGAGTGATATCAATAGTGGACCGCTGAGAACTCGAAAGACAAGGACGAGTGTCTGTGGACGGTCAAGAACCAAGATACTGAAGATTATATGACATGGAACGTAAGCGTCTACGAGAAATGGTTCCGATGCGAATCTCATCTCTCTGCACAAATTTGCAGTCGAGCAAACAAGTCCTCATGAGCAACAGTAAGCACTTTTGGAAATTGAACTTCAAAGGCGACAAATTTGCGTGCGTATTAGGCCGTGATTCAGACCAGGCCTATCTACTGACGATGAGGTGCAGATTCCAAATCCCCAACGACCCCAGCGAGGACGATCAAGCCTTCTACTCTTTAGAACTTGAGGATGATGGATCGGTAACGTGGCCTACAATTGACTGTGGCACCATACTGTTGCTGACGTTTGTTGCAGGTCACCCTCAACGACCAGCAAGAGCCACCCACCGATAAGCAGCTGTGGACAGCCGAGAATGAATGAACTTGCACCTGAAGGATTTCCTTTAGCTGTCTCGCGGATACGTTAGTGTTTGTTGCAACTGTTACGGAGATTGGGCTGCAGGCCGCTGGTTTTTCTGTCTTTCAGATGCGTATACATTGCTATCTGCCGCAGCACATAGCACGCGTATGGCTGGGCATGGTTTTAAGCATGGTCCGCCTCCGTGAACGTGAGGCAGGAAACATAATTCTCAACTGGCAACATCGAAAAGCACGCATCTCTTCGATATCCGTACATGCTAGCACTGCCTCTGATGCCTCATCTGAGTGCGGCGTAGCGAGTATTCGCTGGCGCAGAACGAAGCGAGCACTAGCTCAGGGATTAATGCTTTAACCAGCAACAGTTATAAAGCGCAGAGCACATAACTGACGAACAAAGAACAAACAAACCCGCACTAGTCGTGAACATCTAGCACTGTTTCATGGTAAGGTTCACCTCACTAATAAGATACGGCTTAGGACACTGATAACGGTCCAGATGAGTCCTCTTTGTGCACCAGCCGTGTCTATCCCTGAGACCGTTTATACCCGATGCGTTTGGCGAATGTGCGGGGACACGTGCATGGGAACATATAAAGTGGTCGTCAGAGGTTGCGAGATCGACGGTGTTGAGGCGGTTCAGATTCGTTGTACATTCTAGTATAAGGAAAGCTTAGCGGCATTGTAACGTAAACGGAAGTCTTTATCAGAACACAGCAGTTCTGCTCACACACACTGCTGCGATGTCTCGCACTTCTTAACCATCGCCGAGAAATCAAACTTGTTCTTTATAAATACTGTATGGATCTAACGATCGCTTTAGGAAGGGACTACCAGCACTGCTCATCAAAAGTCCAATATCAGAACAGGACGACACCCGACCAGTATTCGTTGTTCGGGGGAAAAGAAAATCCTAACTTGATTGTGACCTTTGTTCCGCTCGAGTATTTTAGATAAACGAAATAAACATTACCTGTGGAAAGATAACAAAATCTCAGAAGCACGCAGTGCGGTGTAGGCCACGCGGTCATTGAAGTTCGTGGAATCAACAAACACAAAATTGTGCAGTGTACTGTGGGACTGGGCGGTGCAAGATATGATTTCCCTTGCGCGCAGAGTCATATTGGGCAGCGAAGAAACACAGGAATGCAAGATAAAGTCAAGAACAGATATAAAGGGCATATTGTTGAAAAAAATATGGGCGCTCGAACGGTTCTAGACAGCCATTGCTCAAGCTGTGAAGCAAGCACGATGTCATGATGGCGGCGCCGCCATGAAGCAAGAGAGAGGCTCTTGTGGATTCTGCACAAACGACGAGTTACCATCATCCATCTAGTATTCGATTGGTATACTTAGTCAGCTGGAAAGTGTATACAGGTATTAGAATACAGAAAACCGCAGGTAGTGCAGCAAGTGAATAAAGCGCTATGAAAGTTTGCTGAGCTCAGCCCAGCTCTCGGTATCTTTGAATGACTGGAGAAAATCATCCATATCTGATTCTGATTCCTTGGAGTGGGTCGGCTTGTCTCCCCTTCTTGTCGATCGTAGTAATTCTTTACGTCGATTAAAGGCATGCGTGTCCAGCACATCGAAACAATCCACAACGAACTCCCACATAAGTTTATCTTTGTGCAAGTGCGCGGGAACGTTTCTATTAGCCTGGAAAACAAACTTCTTCTCGCCACATGCTATGGCATTTAAAGTGGCCCATTCATCAAGGGGTCGCGATTCCTCAGATCGAAGAACTCCGTCCTCATACTGCAAGGAGATCCAAGCAAAGCACCACATAAACGACTCCAGGTCATGGCGATATAGGTGTTTGACTTCGCCTCGTTGACCCTCTAAGGTGAGAAGATCAAGTGCCATGAACGGCACTGTTCCTGTGCGTTCGTTGCCCCGAGGACCTGGGTCACCCGCCAATGAAGATAGATCGTAGTCGTTTAAAACACCTATGCGCTTCCCGTCTTTCCAGTACCACATCAGGTTTCCAGGGCTGACATCTCGATGATAGACCCCTTCCTTCCACAAAGTAAGGTGACCTGCACGCTATGTCAAGGATAAGCCTCATAAATGCAATGAAACACTTACATAGTATGCATTGATACCATACGTCGAAAAGCACTTTGCCATCAAGCTCCGTGATTGGCTTGAGCTTGCGGAATACGAGAATGTAGAGGACGCGACTGCCCGTGGTGGGGTCTGGAACGCCGAGCGCTTCTCGGATGGCGGACGTGGGATTCGTGAACTTGTGGTGCCACAGCAACTCAGGAATGTGGCCTTGGACAGAACTGTGCGACTTGGCGATCTTCTTCACCTCGTCCAAAATTTCCGGCTCGCTCGTACGACTCTCCTCTCCCCAAAAGATCTTGGCCACCATCCCGTCATGAAGGTTGTCGTATTTCTTCGCGAGCGCTTCGCTGGTGACAGGGACCACATTGGTGGCCCGTCCTTGCAGTCCGTAGTGTGTCACCCTTTCGTCGTGACTGGTGTGAAGCAGCAGATCCACCTCTCCAAGTGTTTCATCCTTGATTGTGAATTCGTGGCATTGTTTCCCCTCAACTTGAACTGGGAGGAAGTCCTTGTTTCGGCCCCAATCGTGAAGCTTGAAGCGTTGTAAAGCATACAACAGCACCATGAATCGCGGGAGATCCTGAATGAAGTTGATACCTGAGCATTGAATGACCCCTTGCCGATCATAATACCAGATCCACATTACATCGTCTGAAAAAACTTTGTTAAGAGTGCGATCGATGTCGGCAGACGAACAAACCCACCGACAACGATAATATTCAGCAGATAGTTGACTCCAAGATTGGCCGCAAACATTTCGGCGGCGTACAGACCCGTCTGAACAGTCACATCTAGATCGGCGTCCGTGTCGTCGGGGTTCGCCTTGGATTTTTTTGGGGCGGATTCTAAAGTGTCCGTGGCTTTGCGCTTGGAGCTGGACCCGCCCAGGGAAGGCTGGGCAGCAGTAGGATTGGAAGATAGAACTGCAGCTTGCCCTATTAAGTTTGATCTCGGAATCCTGAATACCATTACTTACATGCAGTGTCAGATGCGGGTTGTGTAGCTGGGGTCTGCGAAGGGTCGGGTGCAGTGTTTTCATCTTTAAGATGACTCACTGGCAGATATTCTGGCTTGGTAGAGATATAGTCTTTTACGGTGTACGAACAGGGCGGCGGGTCAATCCCTTTTGTCCTCCCTGGCGTCTTTCTCTTGAACTCGATGCAAGCTAGAACATCTTTCCAGGGTAGATTTTTCGGTTTTGCTGTTGCATTTTTGTCCATGTGAGCCTTGCGCTTCTTCTTACGCTTATCGTCAATCTTCTCGTTGTCCTTCTGTTTCTCCTTTTCTTTCCGTTTCTTTCCGGCCTTCTCACCCTTGAAGGGAGCGCATGCGGTATTCAAAGGAAGAATGACGAGGTCAGGCTTCCGAGTTGATTTCGCAGTCTGGTGGGATTGGTGCATGGGCATATCGTTCTGCTGACAGATCATGTCCACGGCGGGGACAGGAGCACACATCCCGTCAACCTTGATCTCTTCAAGACACGTGAGAGCGATGTTAGTGGCTCTTATAAAAGGGCCGTAAAAGTTGTGTTCTACTCCTGGGCGTACGCTTCCAATCGTGATAACCATGAGGATGTCCGATCAGCGAACTTAGAACAGGCACTCACTATTCCTTGAGGGCCGTCTCGATGTCAGAAGACTTTACGAGAGCAGTGGAGGCCTGTCCATTGCAAACCGGCAGAACTGCCTTGAGGCACATTTGCAGGAGCTCGGGCTGTTTAGTCTCGGGAGAGGAAGAAGCACGCTGTAGGAGAACTTGCAGCATGGCGTCCGCCTTGCACTCCTTAACCTGCTCGATATCGCGTTGAATCCATGGGCGAACTTTCTTAACCCTTATGGAATGTCAGGTGCTACTCAATAAAAACAGGAAATGTGCGCACTGGACACCGAGCACGCCGATGTTCTGGCTGATGACTGAAGCCCCACGGCTGTTTGGAGTGGATTCAATTGTGCTAGAAACATGGGCTTGTGCATTGGCACGTGGGGGAGTAGACGATACGCCAGTCTCGCCGGCAGGGGACATGACTCTGACGTCAGGCGTTCAATGATTGTGCCGACTGGGTGTTGTGAACCGAACTGGTAAGGTGGAGAAAACTAAGAGGACAAGAAAAGACAGACACTGCTGGCTTGCCTTATATCTGGTCGACCAATATTTGTGGCGCAAATATGATGGACCATTGATCAACCCGATGTAGATTGATCAGTGGCGTGGCGGTTGTGGACTTGTAGAATTTCAACTCCGGCGACGCGTCCATAACACGTGCACGTGACCCTACGAAGCCCCTGACCAGTTTGTAGTGAACAGTAGTTCGAAATCAAGTTTATTTGACCTAGATGAACACAATGCGCCTTATTCACAAACGACGAGTGCAGTTGAAGCTCGCTACCTGTCATACGATCCATTTCCTAAATCTGAATTTCTCAAATCTCGTTAATGGGTAGTATGGCATTAGCTGTGACGAGCTTTGGAGCCTTATGGGTGTGGATGCAAAAGAAGGTGCTCGCCCTACATGCAGGTCCTTCCCTAAAACTATCAATCTCACGAAATGTTTCAGGCGAGACAACCCTGCTACGCTTTGCCAGGCCTCTTCCAAACCTGTATTCCAGTCTGATTCTTCCCAGCGTGAATCAAACTGTTCCACATGGCACCTAACGCAAGTCAGGGGTATCGATTGATCCCAGCGTAGGACCAGTTACAGTAGAGGAACCCACTCCACAGCACACTGACGGAAGCAGTGGGGTTTATACGAAAGTTCCTGCATACGTCGACAGCTCTGACACGTACAAAGAAATAATGGTAAACCATTAACACCTTGTTTTCCGCATCACATGATGTCACTTTTTGAATGGAGTTAGTGAATTCTCAGGTATGGGCGATACAGAACGAAATTCTGACCGAATCGACAGCAGCAACTATCTTGATGTTGATTCCTACAGAGCAAGCTAGTAAGTATCGTTGACTGCTCGTGCGGAGTAGATTTCTCGCGCACACAAAGATCCAGAAACTACGGTAAATATCACCAACTAGGTGACATCATACTCAAGTCACATCTGCTCCTATAATCGTTTTCCACCAACACCACCACCTCAGCGAAGAAACAATTCCAAGATGCATCCGACCCCTAATTTCCGCCAGCAGGGAGATATGTCCCAGAAATACTGGCATAATCAGCCGCCAAGGAACAGATTTGTGCGCTTAATGGATCAGTACTGACTGCGACCGCTCATCATCCGGATCACGCAGTTCATCATGACCGCAGCTCTCCTTGCTGGGACAGGGCTTGCGTATTACTGGGGCTATCGGGGTGTGGATCAGAGGCACCCTGCTGACAGTGAGTGTTACATTACCTTTGGAAAATTGCGTTCTCAGCATTGTTACCGTCGCTTAGAAATACCTGTCAAGAAATAGTCAGGATGTCATGGGAATGAAGAATGTTTTACTGGTTCCCCTTGCACCATGAAAGTCCATTAATTTGTAGTCTAATATACTTTTTTTTGATATACAATGTGTTTCTATACGACACCTATTGCTGGGTACTACCGTCAGTAAGATAACAAACCCAAAGACATGACTCAAGATAGTTAATCATTCAAAGTGTTGCATCTCATCTAGTCCATGTTTGACCACCGACTGGTCAATAAGGTACTGCAATGTTGACGTATTTTCGTCGCATCTGGAAAACAATCAATGAGATGCAAACGCCTACAGATGTAGAGACGCACAGTCTTGATATCGACCCCGCCACGTCACCTAATGCCTTCTGGGCTGTCCGCAACACAGGTGCATGTTCACCGCTGCGATCCTTCAGGAAGCGACCATGTGCCGTAATCACAGCTTGCACCCAAATGAGGTCGAACTCGAGGTGAGGACTTTTCTCCAGATGCTCCGACGTGAATCGAAGGAGAGCGGGGACATAAACGTTAGGCATCTGTCGTGCAACAAGGCGTATGTCACTGCGTGGAATGCGCTCGTAAACTTGTTGTATAATGGGCTTTTCATTCAAGCGGAATGCAAGAACAAGGGCCTTTAGGTACTCGCCCTCCGCAAGAATATCGAGTACAGCTTGCGGGGTGAGATCTATTGTCAGGTCGAAAGGGTCAAACATGACAGTCTCGTCTAGAGAATAGATCAAGAGGCCTTCGGTGCTTGCGGCTGCCCAAGCACGTCCCGTTGGTGAGAAGCGCACGCATTTAGTGCGTGCTTCTTGCCGGTACTTTCGTACGGACATGTCGCCCGCTCCTCTTGATGCGCCCGGTAAAGTCGTATCCATCCTATCTTCCAGGTCGCTGGCATTACCGCGGTCATCAATAAGATCGGTGTTGATACCTGCATCGTTAACCTTGCGACTATCTAGAAACTCCTGGGTGCCATCTAGTGAGAGGTTTTCTGAAATCTGAAACTTCTTCACGAGCACGCCCTCTCCTTCACGTATGTCATATAGACAAACGTACTTGCTATTTCCACCGGCAAGCACGTACGACCCATCTGCAGTATATGCAAGGCTCGTGAACGCCTTTGTGGAGGAACTATTGGCAGCCGCGACTCGATCGTCTGCTTTTCGTCCTCCAGAAATGTCTTTGCGACCATCGATGACATTTGACTGCTTTCCGGATCTCACATCAAAGAATGTGATCTGACCATCAAGCGTAGACGCTCCTAGCTCCATGCCATCCGGTCGGAATGCAATCGAGAGAATATCGGAGGAGAGCGCAAGAGGTTCCACGGCGCGTGACCTGCCAAAAACACTCCAAATGCGAATAGTGCGATCCCAGGAACCACTTGCCAGTTGATTGGCACCCGTGGGTGAGAAGGCAAGCGAAGACACGGGTGCTTCATGACCAGCGAGAATGTCGAGCAGCTTCCCAGTCTGGACCGACCACATAAAGACTTCGAATGTGTCTGTTGAGCCTGCAGCAACGACTTCTCCTGATGGGTCGACTGCTATGGAAGAGAACTGAACAGGAGACGGGGAGGTGAAAGTTCGGAAATTGCGGTACCGAACTAGGTCGAATGCACGAACGGTGCCATCAAGAGAAGCGGAGAACAGAACAGAACCGTGCTTCGCGAAAGTGATGCCCATGATGGGTGCAGTGTGCTCTGAGAAAGTTACGAAGCAGAAGCCATTTTGTACGGACCAGATTTTGAGTTTGCCATCATCACCCCCTGTGGCGACGGTTTGCCCATCTGGGGCATAAGCCAGCGTGTTCATATCGAAATAGTGTCCCTGTTGTTTGAGGATGTAGGACTCTGATTGCCATTCCCAGACAAGGAGCTGACCAAGCCTACGTGCGCCGAAGGCAAGCCACTCTCCGGTTGGAGATATTGCAACAGATGAGATCTTCTCCTGCGAGATGCTCAGAGTGTGAATATTTGTGAATGACGGAAGCTCCCAAAGTCCAAACACTCCACTGGAGAATCCGACAACCAGGAGGTTGGAAGATGGGTGGAAGGTCGTACAGACAACTTTCGTGTGTGGGAGATTAAAATAGTGGCGGTCGTGTATTCCCCACCTTATCCGAGGAATTGAATGTGCGAAAGCCGACGAAGCGAGTTGGGGCTCCTCAGCGTCGTCTGGCTCGTCTTTGGATGTCCATGTGAAAACAGCACCATCACGACTGACAGTGTATATCTGGGCAGATGTAAGTCAAAGGAAAGATGAAAGATTAGTTTCACTTACGAATTTGCCATCGGCGGAGAAGTATGCTCCAACTACAGCGTCCTTATGACCAGCAAACGTTTTTGGTCGAAACCCTTCCAAGGGATCGAGGGTGAATAATCGGGCAGTCATGTCGCGCGATGTCGTTATGAAGCAGCTGATCTTACTGAGCTTAGTTGTCGACAACAGTTATGAAATGCACTCACGTTGAATCTGGTGACCATCGAATACTGGATACCTCGTCATGATGCCCCGTGTATGTGCGGTGAAGTACAAATGGTGCAAACTCTCGGACTAGATGATTTGGCGTCCGCCAAACTTGCACATGGGAATCGTGGGTCACTGCGATGAACCTAAGGGGTAATCATAATGAGGGTCATCGACCGCAGATAAGATACATAACTCACTTTCCATCATATGAAAATTGTATGTCCTGGACCGGTTTTTGGAAGTTGAAATGATGCAAAACCACGCCTCTTTTGAAATTTACTAGTAACGCTCTGCCATCTGTACGAATTGTTCAGTATTCACATGATCTGCAAGTACCCCAACGAACCTTCATCGACAGACACCAAAACGTTACCATCTGGACTGAGGGCGATTGCAGCAATATTTTTGCGATTCTCGACAGGCAGAGTTCGGGATTTATTGCTGAGGAAGAGAGTCGTCGTTCAGAATCTCTCATATGATATAGAATGCACTTACTTCACCAAATCAAATACTGACACTCGATTCCCGACAGGACTTAGCAGCGTGTTGCCATCGGGAGTAAAAAGAATGTTTCCTTGCTGGTAAACTGTCCCACAAATGTTGGAGAACTGAACAAGTGATGAACTCCTGTTTCTGCTAGTCGATAGAAAGTCTCACCTTGTAATTTGCCTTCATGAGTGCCCAGAACGACGAGCAAGCTTAAAGCAAAAACTAACTTACACTGGCCAAAATTTGTGGGTCTGACCAAAAAGGAAATCGTGCTCAGCAACGCAAACTACTCGAGTGTCGAACGAACTTTCAAGTGCCATTTCACAACTATGGTCAATTGGCGGATCAGCAAAGACCTGAAAGACAGATATTCAAAGAACATGGTGCTGTCAAGAAGCCCAGTCCTTCACCACTCATTGGACGCACTCGTACCATTACACGGGCACTCTTGAAAGTCATTCAAGACCTTTTTGCGGAGGAGTCGAACCTGTATCTCGATGAAGTATGCATATGGCTTGCATTTGTGCACTATCATTATGAGTCCTTCTCCTGCTCGCAGTCTCAAAGAACCTGGTCTCACAAGAAATTCTACAACAGCTTGTTATCAAAAATGATGAAGCTTGTCAGCCGCCAGGCTTGTCGACGAGAGTTCAAGGACAGACACCATGCGCGACTTTTTTTTTACTGACGGGCAGCAAGTGGAGAATGAGCCACGCCGACTGGTGTCCTGAAAGATACCCCATCTTCTTGTTATTGTCGTCAGTAGACGAAGGCTTGTCGAAGCCGTTCAATCCACACTGTTCTGATTCCGAGGAATTTTACTTGTATGTTTCTTGGATCTGTCTTGTTTCCTTGCCATACAGATATATTCCAGTACAAAGGCACAAAACAGATGCTGTTGCATGGTTGAAGTGTTGAGCACGCCCTAGAAATGATAAGGAATCGTGTTCGCTGTTTGATTGTGACCAGTTTGACCTCAAGAACACAAATAATCGAGGGGACATGAAGTATTGTTCGATTGAAAACGAACATTAATACCTAGAATACAAGTAGAGAGAAACTGAAGAACGAATCGGAACCGTAGCCGCATTATATCGTGGCAAGGTCTTTCTCGCTACCTTTGCATTCAGGGCTGGGTGTCTTCTCGTCGCTCATGCCCACCAGTGACTTTGCAAGCTTGTCCACTGCCGTCCCCCTCGGACGCGTTGTTGAATTGGAGTCCTTCGACGAATGTCAGGTCGGGAAGACACTTACGAGAATATAGTGTGGCATTTGTTCTGCCTTGCTGTTGACACCTACTAGTATACCTCCACTTGTCGATGAGAAATATGATGTCCGGAAGCAGGTCAACATTCGAAGGAAGAGAAATTCAAGATACGCTGGTACGGAATCTTCATTCTATGACATCATTAATACTGTGGATTGGCAAAAACAGTGCAATGTCACTCACGACAAACGTATCTCGAAAGATCGAGACCTAGAAAGTATTTTTAGCAACATAGATATTCGTCGAGACAATATTTGGTTCCTTCAAGGTTCAAAGGGCGAGTTTTGGCTCGTGGCATCGGTCATGGCTTGAAAGACCGCCAATAGTGGACTCTAACTTTGAACTGGGCTATGGAATTTGTGATATGATCTGGCGACACTCCCGGGCCCCGCTATGCTCAAACTCAGACGTGCAACAAGTATACGTACTTCAGGCAAGAACAGAATCTTGGAAGGCACCCCATATCGTAGATCTGGACGAATTAAATTTTAGTGGACACATAAAGTTCATTGTGAGCATGAACAGTGTAATCGTCTATCACATGATACCACTGCAGCATGGCGGTGATTAAGCAGCGAATGGTGGAGCATTAAAGTTCGGGAGCGCACTCGATTTGCCAAAATTACGCTATTGCATCATAGGTTCTTTGTGCTCCAAGATGACGAAAGGAGCATACCACACTTCAAATGCTGCATGAAGTTGTCTGCGTCATGACTCAAATGAAAAAGAATCAAAACATGGCATGGGAGCGGGAAACAAACTCACGAGGAGCGGCAGTCCGCATTATTCCGGGTCAAGGACTACGTTCCGCTAAAAGAGATTGTCGCCTCCTGCGATCTCTGAGGGATGTCTTTACATAAAGAAAACTGCCTCCAGCAGCCAGAATGAGGCTGCCCAAGCCAAAAACCTTCGCGAAAAACAAAGTTCAGGGTTGTTAATCACAAGCGGCTTCTGCTCGCAACTTACCATCCGTCGACTGAGCATCCCAAAATTAAACGGATATGATAGAGTTTTGCAGTGAATGACGTTATTTTAGTTAGACAGTTGGGTGTAGATCGAGCGCCGGGTTGTCAGAACCCACAAACGAAGTGTTCAAATTAAAATAACATCTATGCATGTGATGAGTTGCCAGACTGTGACACTGTGTGACACCTATTGTGACACCTGAATCTAGACTAGTGGTCACGGTGGTGTAGAAGTATATTCCGACTCGGAACACCATTAAAATCGACATTAGCCTCGGCTACTTGTCCATGACCATCGCGACTAGTCATAACACGCAGTTTTTGACAGATGGGCCGATTTGAACTACTCGTTTGACAGGATTAATGCAACATTCCAGGGCTATTTAAACTTGAAGCAGTTTCAGGATCTAACTTGAAAGCATTGCAATCGCCGTCTATTTTATGGTACTACTATCATGGGATTCTATGCAAGGTCATCAGCGCAAGTTCGTACTGTTATTCATGTGGGGTATGTCAACGACTTCACAACTTTTTCTCATCTAATGCTACTGAAGCTTAATCGAAAAGTTTGGGGTGCACAGCAAGTCCCAACTGATTCTCCATGATGAATTCTGGTCTACGATTTCCGAATGGTGGAAATAGATGACACCGTTTCCCTCACAGTGTTAGGTTGCCGCATGCGCAATCAATCGTAAGCAAGCGCTTCTTGGCGATTTCCAGCCACCGGTCACCCGGCCATGCATCATGAGCCTTTCCCAAAGGACTCTGGACGCAATACTCCTAGAGCGGAATCGCGTCACTCAGGAACTGGGGTGTTGATATTGGCGCTCTTGTAGGCATCAGATCTTCTTGCCCCACGCCTCCTGGTGGGTGATAGCTCAAGCCTATCACAAGAGGACTTAGCCCGGGCGTCTTGCCCTCCTACCCTCATCTAGAATCAGTTATCAGACCATGGATTCACATCCGGAAGGCTCACCTGCTGAGATACTCAGATATCAGATAACAAAGCAGGCGATAGCATTGTTCCTGGTTGCTACGGTACATATGCACACCACTGGCAGCCTGATACGGTGCCCTTACCCCACTTACCGCAAAGATACAATCAGTCCACAACCTTCGGGGCAAGGCTCAAAGGTTACTGGGGTCAGGGACGACTGCGCCTTCTTAATGTGCTTCGCGTCTACTCAGCGATAGCGTATATGACTGCCATACGAGCGAAGAAGGATCGTGGGCACCCAGTGATCTGCTTTCGTGCGCCCACAACCCGATTCGCTGAGTTGTCACCCAATCTATTCTCACCAACCTGATGTTGAATTTAACTTGCTCGGTTGTGAAACAAGCTTCTGCTCAAACCAGTCAAGATCCGACTTAAGAACAGATAGTTGGAATGTTCGCCGGATCAGTGGCATCATCGGGATTTGTCACAGCAGGGCATGTGCCATTTTCCTTCATAACTTTCGTCACTTTTCTCACAAAGGGTTCTCGAATTCGGCATCGTTAGCCTCTGCGGCTCACATGGCTTAACGTCTTGTCCGATGACGGTGCCGGTTGATTGGTATTAACCGAATTCTGCTTTGCGCTTTCTTCAGGATTTGTCCAATAACGGTGCCGGCTGTTTCATATCTGCTTTGCGCTTTCTTCGCGATTGTTTACGCTTTGATTCCGTAGATGTGAAACCGCCGGCAATTCAGGGAATATCGCCGACCGATGGCCCCATCAATTGCGCTGAAGTTCATTTACCTTATCTCCGCAATGGATTTTTACTATGAACAAAGGGCAGACCTTACGATATGTTCTGCTAATGGAATGGATGCGTCATGGACCGAAGTAGGTGAGATTGATATTGTAACCGGGAGAAAAAGATGGAACGAGCCATGTCGTGATTCCGAACTTTGAAATCCGAGCGTCATTTGAAGTTGTTCTAGAAATCGAATACACTACTTACACTCCAGTGGCCACTTTGTTGGTGCCAGTTCTATTGAATTTTAAAAACAAACTATACGATTGTTTCTTCAATAGTGGAACGCCTGAGTGACGTCGGATACCAGTATCGTGGGCCAGATATGCCATGTCGGGAAGCGATCGGTGCACATACTAAGATGATTTTGTGCAAATATAGAAAGTTGAGAATTTCGTACATAATGTCTTTATTAACCGATGCTGTCACAGTAACGTAATTTTCTTGATATGTGCGTTGATGTCACTACTTTGGTCGTCACAATAATATATTGCCTTTCTTTCCGTCAGCTATATAAATGCTGTCTTTACTGTCCCTAATGGTCCACGATCAGACCCAACCGTTCAAAGAATCCCTACTCCTCTTCTCCCGTCCGTTCTATCCCATTCTCTTCAACTCCCCCTCTAGCCATCATTCAGTCGTCTCATCCTAATCATAATATGCCTGGCGCAACGCCATATATAGGAAATGCGACAAGGATATGGGAGATCAATGTTCACTGGAGCCTGTATTCTCAGTGTGGAATATGGGATCCTAAGGGTCGCGGCGTAGATGTTTGGGAATGCATTAGAGCTCGTAAGTTGCCACTTTTCTTTGTATCTAGCCATCCTCATATGTCCCTCCTAGATGACTCGACCCAATTTACCCAGGTTCGCTACTGGTCTTGCACTTTCATCTCTTCTGGTAATCTCATTAAGTTACCCTTTCCAGCCACCGAACGGTCTTTACTGGCGCTACATCGCTCGCCGGTAACCAATCTATGGTTTCATGAACACTGCCATAGCACAAATCTTGACGCCATGATCATCACGTTACTACCCGTGATCATCTGGTACCCACAGACGCCCAATCCGGTCTAGGACTGCGTCATGCCACCCTCAACGTCGCAAGTGAAGGTTAGATATCTCCCAGGTATTGGAGAGACAAGCATTGTCACATTGCCTTCGATGAGGGATGTGGAGGGTCATTCATGAATGACATGCATTTTTACGATACTACTATTCTTTGCATTTTCTTTGGCTGGTTCCGAACTTCCGCTTCGTTATGGTCACGTTCCACCCCTTTTGTGGTATATTTACTTGTTCCATTTAGTCATCTGGCACAAAACATTTACTATACCTGTCTATTCTAATATCCACCGCGATTTTTTTTTGGGAAGCACGACTACAGGTAGACTCAATAGATGGAGGACGATGTCGTTTCCTCCACTACATTCCCAATTTGTGTGTTCCTGGTTGCAGCAAGTGCATGGTCTCCGTCACCAGGGGCAAAGTATGTGCTAGGTGAGTCGCATCATATTTCTGAGAGTATTGAGACAGTCTATCTCAGCTGTGACATTGTAGTAATCTTTGATCAGACTCGACGTTTTCGTTGTGACTCGATATGGCGCTTATCGCTAGTGCCGCGTAACAAAGCCCTTCCTGTCCCTGGTGACTGCCATACTATACCGCGGAGGATGGACCCATCCCGAAACACATTATGTTACTCATGCTGTAAATCTGATGACACGTGCATGTCTGGCAAGATCTCGTGATTGTAACGTGTTGCAGAAGAGATAGGGGTGCACAAAAGTGCAAGTACCCTCAGGCTCAATGATTCGCAAAGAAGAAACCATCATCGCTACAAAGTTTCGACTGCAGACGGCGAGGCAGTTGAACTCTATCAAAATTAGTGTTACTGCGCGAATTAACATCTAGCAAGGGACCCACGCGGTCAGGCTATATTTCCATTTATTAACCAGGACATAGCGACATGCATTGATGAATACAAAACACGTACCTGCTATAACAGCATCATCCCCATCCTGCCCAGCGCCTCGATGTGATCGGGTGCGCATGACTTGGTCAACCTCTCGAAAAGGGTAGCCGAATAGTCTTGCCAGTGCCAAATTCAGCCGCAGGGTCCGAACACGCACATCCTCAAATCGTTATCCCCGACCAAAGATCTCTGGCCTATGGGGTCCTAAAGCCCAGGAGACGCTAGTAATTGTCTTGGCCTCTCCCAGATGTGACTAGGAGGAAAAAAAAACGTTATCGGAAGCCTCATTGCCTTGGGCCCGGGAAATGAAATAATGATAAGTCCTGATTGGGCATGATGCGCCAGGATTACTGGTACGGTCTTGTCCTGGCGTGAGGATATTGTACGGCCTGCTTGCCATCAAAAAAACATGATTAGTATCGGAGACTATCGGAGAACGAGGATGGTCACAAGGGGCTTCATTTCTTGATATTGTGAAACAAAGCTCATCTGCTGGTACCATGGTGTTGTTTACCATGGCACCTAGTACATGTCTCTATGTAAACACTCTGGGAGGGAGAACAGTGGATTTTCACTCGGGCACCATATATAGCAAGTTCCTCGTCAGCTCATCGACATTGGATGGAGACTAGTAGAAAATATCTAGGCAAATCAAACGAATGGACTTTTCTGATCGTGGGGACGACACGTTTGTAAGTTTCCTAGATTTTCCCTGTCAAACGAATGCTCGAAAAATGTCAGGCGTGCACAATTTTCGTTGCCACTACTGCCGAAATTTGCGACTCCGTACAGTCTCAAAGATGATATCGAGATGCGCACATTGGCCAAATATAAGCATCAGCGGGAAACAGGCGCACGGTGGGTGCGGAGCGCAGATACAACTCCGTTGCCGTAATGGAGAGCACTTACACCCGAAATGACACCACAGAGGGGCAGTTCCCAGACGGGTGAAACACACTCGTGGTGTCTAATTGTTGTGATCTTGCATAGAGTTGTACCGATGCTGAATATACATAGGGCATGCGCGCTCTGGCGGAGCATGAGAGCCAAGTGAGGCATACTTACGTGTTTCATGCAGTGTGTCGGTGAATGCACGTGTAGTTCAAATGCATCTGCATGGATGATTCTCGAGTGCTCAATTAACTAGATAATTCTTTTGGAAACCTAAAGGAATGAAATGACAGGAATGCGGCTCGCGGTGAAAGCTCGGACAATCACACTTACGAGAAACCTGCCACATTCCTCTGACTTCGATAATGAGCTATACACGGGCATCCCGTTTTTCATATCTGGACAATGTGAGGCAGATAAACAAATGTTTGGTTTGAAAGTAGGCTTGCATGGCTGGCTAGTGGGATATGATACTGGCGTAATGCGATTCCCATCTCCCATCCTGGACAAGATGACAGCCGACATCACGAACATGTCATCGAATAACAATGGGACAGGCATGAATTTGCAATTGGCACGTAAGACTTCTAGCTAGTGGGACTTATCTATTCTTGCTTCACTTGGTTCTTGATGTGATTGCGTCGAAGGCGACGGGGATCGCCAGAACTACATGGGCGCCAAGATGTCGGCTTTCTGTGGTAAGACTGCGTGATGCATAAGCCACGCCCTGCTGTGCAACAAACGACAGGCTCCGAGATGATGAGTTGATAAGATCAAAACAAGTCCGATACAGTACAGAGTCAAATGGAACAGGCGATGCTGAAATAATAATTTTGTATTTCCTGGAGAGGAATGCAGAGCAGTGAGTATAACTCGATATCACAGGAGGTGGACACATACAGGACTGGTGAGGTCCATTACTTGTCAACTGATCACGTTACCATCTTCAAACCTGGCAACATCTTAAGGTATTCTGTGAGGTGCGATTCGACGCCCTTGTTGCGGTGTATAGTGACCCACTTGAGTGGGCATTTGGACCGAGTAACGAATGCTGAGAATTGTTTGTGTGGCCAAGGATACATATCCGGCGAACAGAAGCGGATGACCAACTCCTCTAACGCTGGTAGGGTCAGGGCTTCGAAAAGATTGCCTAAGCCAGCGCGGATAACATTGACCTCAAGTTGATGAATACTGTGATTCACCGTGCCTATCAGAGGGAACGGCTGCAGGTCCGTCTGTGGCAATGGATCCACACATATGGATGAAACGCTGACCCGTTGGACTTGCGTACAGAGGCTGATGACCTGCAGAAAAGTAGCACTGCTAACCAGTGCAAACTGTATCTTCAGTTCCAAAAGCTGGTGCCAAGGCAAGTCAATGGAACGCAAAGAGTGTAGATCGCAAGTCATGGATTGCAAGACCGCAGAACGAAGTCGTGGCATTGGGCTGGGTATGGAGACCAGGATACTTGCTTTGTGAAAAGTTACCTGAAAGCGCGACAGGGACTGGACAGAGCCGTCTAATAAACCTTGGACAGGAGGCCCATGCCACCAAAGGTCAGAACATTGACCCAGGAAAGGTCGGAGCCATTGTATGGAAAGAGGTTCTTTCCTATCTGAGAGGTCCATGTCATGCACCACACGAAGGGATAGTGGGACACTCCGGGCTTTTTCTAGCCAACGCTTGTACTCGTCACCACTAGTTGTGTTTGCCCGAAGCAAGGATATGCTTAAGGACGCCCATAATCGGGGAGTGGACAGGGCAACTACTCGCCAGTGACGGCAGACCTTTGTGAGGACCATTGGACATTCATTCGATGAAGGCGTAACATAATTTGTCTGGGGAAGACACCGAAGAAATATCTCTCCTAGAAGCTCCGATGGTAGCAAACAGCGTGCTGGAGATGCCAGGGCTTCGTGGTATTTCAACGACTCTTGCACAATGGCCCTTTTCTCCTTCAATCTAGCTTGGATAACTTGTAATTCTTCCATCGCATGGTTCAGAAGCTCGATACGGTCGTCGAGAGCTGCAAGTTGTGACTTTCGTTGCGTTACAACAGCGTGAATGGTCTGGACCTTGTCGGATGGAACATGACTGGTGGGAGGATAATAAGAGAGCGATAACTGCACCAAAATATCAGCTTTGACCCAAACGGTATGGTTAGAAAATTTTCCATACCGGCTCTAAGATGGGAGACTGCATCATGATGAGCAATGATCACGCCATCGCAACTAACAAGCATCAAACTCACATGTAGCAAATCATTCAACAAATCAGGGCCGATCATTTTAAAAGATGTGCGGTCACTGCGGTGGTATACGAGGGTATACGATGATATTGTGCGATTTAAACTTTAAATTTTGCTCGAGACTCTGGTGCAAAGGCTCAAGTTATGTTATGTAACCAGGCGGCGTGGGGGCCACGACTCTACACTGGTAGGCGTTGAATCAGGTGTAAGTGGTATAACATGTACAGTACAATTTCCGTCGTTGATTATTTCTCCAGTGCATTTTGTCGTTGCATGGCGGGCGGATGACTTTCGGAGCGGTGTAATATCACACAAAGATAGCCTAGTAGCCTGTAGGCTAGCCTGAGCCTGACTCGGAGGGGGATCCCAAGTGCATGGCCCCCAGTGGGCGCCGGGCCCTGGCCTGTCCAGGCTACACTGGTATGTATTATTCTGCTTAGGTCTTTGAATGCCTTTTGTGGTCTGACTCCGTTAGCTAGTGTGTAGCTGCGACTCACAACACCCTGACATATGAGACATGCCGGTGCATCTCACCGACTCAGAGAGTGTTATATTGTGGCAACATACTATACATATGAATCAACTACTTTTCCTATGTGAGCATCATATCATTATCCATCACAGTGTCGCTGGGGTTAATTACACTGCTTTGTTGTCGAAGTACATATTGTCATGATTTTTGGTCTCGAGCTTCTGACACGGCCTCGTCTCCTTCTCTGCCAGCCCTTGGTACTTGGGAAATTCCATACAATGGAGCTCTCTCTCAGTAACATTTGGTCAAGGCTCAGAGGGTACCATGTACGGTATCTCCGGATCCGCATGCCGACGGAGCGCCCGGATCTGCAGTCTGATATGTGGCTAGTGCATCTTTATAAAACATACTCTTGACCATTTTTGACTTCCTGCAGGGTAGTGCAACCTGTGCAGGGCTCGTTGTCTGTTGCCCGACATCTTGGCTCGGGAAAATCCAGTCGCCCGATCATTGGAACAAACACAAATGTTTCTTTTTTCTTTTTCGAGAGACAAGTTCAGCTTGATAGTATTTGTTAAAAGCGACTTGTCCCGGAGACGACATGTCGAACGCTGTTAGAACTCCAATCGTGCGGAAATTAGATGAGCGTATACTATGCTTTCCTACCCTCAGATCACCTTCTTGGCTTCCTCTAAAAGCCTCCAATTAGTGGGTTATCAAGGACTCGCCAAAATTAGAGAATTGAGGCAATAATTCCTGGCTTTAAAAATTATTTTCAGCTTTCACCTCGTGGCCACTTTAACTGCTGATCCCTTATGCTGTAGTGCGGGATGTCATCGCGATTCTCGAAAGAGAAGGCTCTGCTTTTCAGGGTTCGGTGGGAGTCACTACGCTCAATTGGAGCAGAGAACCTTCACGTGTATCTGATCGTAACCCATTCTTCTCATATGGAAACTGTCAGCAGAGCCTCCGAATGTGCCTGCTAATTCTGATTGGTCAGTCACTGTTCCTTTCAGCGCAGAAATTGGCTGAACTTTGATGCATAGCATCATCTTATGGTTTCATCAAAAATTTGCAGCAATATCGTAATGCAAATTTACTGCTTGCGTCTCGTGCGCACTCGGTGTGTGGAGTTTCGACGTTCCGCCCAGGGTTGCATTCAGATTTTCCCCCGGTCATGCTACGTAGGGGTCGAAACTCCGTCATAATGATGAAGATATTATGAGCGCATGAGGCGCGTGCCATTGATGATGACGTGAAGGGACTGGTCCTAAGTTGGAATCACGGAGGCACATGATGATCAACTGTTCGTCCAATCAGTTTTGTCTGAAAATAACGAATCCAATTGAATCGATCTAGCTCGTTCAGTAGTTCCTAATCTTCTTCAGAGCCCAGCATCACCCTAGGAACGATTATTGTCAGAAGTGGGCGCAATAACTAAAGTAAAATCCTTTTTTTTTGTGAAGTTGATCCAAGCCAGAAGGGGAGAGGTGGGCTGGCAAGGCACGAGGGAGATATTCGAGATTAGATGGTAGAATGGTGCCATTCCTCAGGTAAATCATGAACCCGGGCAGTCCGCACTAGAGATGAAATGTCAGTTTTCAGGATGCTAGCAATTCTATGCACGTCGAAGCTGACACGACCCTTTGAAGGTCACTAATCGTTGATCCGGTCATTCAACCAATCGAACCCACCTTGCCCTTAAGCAGAATGGACTTCGCGTTCGCCAGAAGTTGCGAAATCCCTCTTTGAGCATTGTACAATACCCCGCTATTGTTCTGCAGGAAATTTTCCTCATGACCATATACTTCTCATCAATTTCAATTTCATCGCTCGATTGAATATTACTACTGGCCTGTAATTTTCGCCCTATTGGTCTCCGAATCGCGGTCAACAGGTTTGAGGATATCAATGTTTGGTTATGATGCCTTGTGCACGTGTGATAAACAGGCGGTGAACCTGATTTGGGCGCCGGCCAAACGCCAGACAGCCCAATATCGTATTTAAGAACGAGTGGTATGTACACCTGTCGGTCTGAATACAATATTGAACCATTCCAAATTGATGCATGCCAGTCCTCAACGAGAAATCAAACTGTAAAATTGTATTGAGTGGATCAGAAGGACAAAGTCCAACACATTCTACCTAGACGAATTGGAACGATACCTGGGTGTATCTACAGCCAGAGCCCCCGTTTTGGGGCGCATACTGGAGTAGGTGCCTGGGTAAGGCAAAAAATGAAGCAACGTAGTTGGGTGTCACTTACATGCAATACTGGAACTCTCAAAACAACTGTCCTGGCCAGTGGCCAGTGGCGGGTGCCAAGCATGCGGCATAGTCACTATCCACTGATGTTGCGTGTGGTAGTTGACGGAGATGATAAGGGTGTCTACCTGTCAGAAAGAGACAAGAACATGAGACGAAACGGATGTGGTTTGTGATGATTGAATGTCAGAGTCTCCGAGTCAGAGAGCAGTAGCACAAGCAATCTGAGATATGATTGATGTGGATAGGGTCCCAATCGAGTGATGCGAAAGAAGAGACAAACGATAGACTACGGAAAAGTCAGTGACGGTCGAGTATAATAACGAGTGCACCTCGGCCTGAGTGGAAAAGACTGAGGTGGAACGACGCAGGTGCAAAAATAAATAAGTGAGTACATAATAGCAAGACTGGGCCAGTACTTAAACATTGAGGTTCCTCACCACTACGATCTTCGGTTGGAAAAGTGTCAATTCTCCAGTTGGCAAGCGTGCCATGTTCTGCCTTGGTGTTGTATAGCTAGTAGTCTCTGCCAGGCTAGATCAAGTCTTAACCGAATGAAGATAGACGTGACATTCCCGAGCTGTAGTATGTAGGTCCATAGTGGAATTACATAAGTTGAGTACTGTTCAGCTCACTGCTCTTCCTTTAAGTAGTCGCACAACATTTGAAGTACATCTGAACAGCCCACCTCCATTGAGTTCGTCATTGTTGCGAGTTCCTGGTTCGACTGCTACCTTGAAGAACAACTTTCGTAATTCGGATTTCCTCAATTCAAGGATGGACACCGTACAGCACCCTTCGGCAACATGGGAAGCAGTCTCGAATGGCATTGTGTTTTACAGACGCCAGCAGCTGTACACACTGCCTGGAAAGCTCCCAAATATCGCTGACTACCTGATCGCTGGGTGCAAGAATGGTGGGCCGATAGGTATGTGCTCCATTCAATTATCCAGAATTTGCAGGATGAGAGGTGCCCTAGCACTTATGAGAGACGCCTCAAAGCTGGTTGCACTGGGTCGCGGAGGACCTGCACTTACGAAATCTCAAATCCAGGTGTACTCACCGGCCGGAGAGGGCTTGCTACTATTCAGTGTGGATATTCTGCATCAAGTCAAGTGTTCAATGGGTAGCTGACTTGTGTTTGACAGTGGGATCAAGGCCGAATAGTCCGGTTCGGATGGACCTTCGATGAGCGACTTGTGGTTTTGAATGAAGAGGGTGTGTATCGTTTGTACGACTTGCAAGGCGACTACCAGCAGTTTTCGTTGGGCAACGAGGCAGCGGAGTTGGGTATAATCGATGCTAGAATACATGAGAATGGACTAGTCGCCCTGACAGGCTCTTTGACTCTCCTGGAGGTGAAAGACTGGGAAGGCGGGAGGCCATTAGCCCTTGCAAGCCCTGGTATGTTCATCATCATCCATCTTGTCTGTCTGGCATGTATCAATTTCTGGTAGGGATATCCGAACCACCTCATTCGTGGGCTGTTATACCCCCGGATCAATCGATATCGAGACATGTTGAGGTGCTGCTCTCTGTGGATGCCACGATTCTTACCGTGGATAACCTGGAAAGTACGGACCAACGCGTAGCCCGTGGACCATTTTTGCATGTCTCTCCTTCGCCTAATGGTAAATTCCTTGCATTATTAACTTTCTCTGGGCTTCTTTGGGTCGTTTCATCGGACTTCCAACGTGAACTAGTCGTTCTTGACACAACAACTGTGTGTGCTGAAGGACCGGTCAATCAAGTGGAATGGTGCGGCAACGACGCAGTTTTGGTTACTTGGAATGATCTCGCATCACTTATTCTGCCATCACGACATAACATCGCGGGAGAAACTCTGCGGTTTGAGCTTTCTCTCTCTTCCACATCAATGGCTGATATGATATCAATAGTTATCAGTATTATGGTGCTACCTTTGTCGTCACGGAAGCCGATGGTGCCCGTGTCATGGGGCAGGACGCTTGCGACTTCATTCAGAAAGTTCCTGGTAAATTTGCTTGATAGTACGTTTTGCAAGCGAACCTTGACATGTTTTGTACAGTGTCTTCGGTATCAATATTTCGTCCAGGCTCAACATCATCATCTGCCATCCTGTTTGCAGCTTGGGAAAGTTTCGTACAACGATCACCAAAAGCAGACGAGAACATACGAAGCATTCGATCAGACCTTGCTGCGGCTGTGAACGAATGTATAGATGCTGCTGGTCACGAATGGGATCCTCATTGGCAAAGAAAGCTGCTTAGTGCAAGTATAGTTCTTTAATCCGGCCCTCAGTTACTGATTGAAGACTATGATAGGCCGCAAAATTTGGATGGGGATTTCTAGACCTTTACAATCCCACCGACTTCATAGCCATGGGTCAAGCATTGAAAGTTCTGAATGCTGTCCGCTTCTACGAAATCGGAATTCCTCTGACATATTCGGAGTGAGTTCAATATCTGGAAGGCTCGATGTAGTCGAAATCTGATTCTCGCAGGTATCAATATGTATCCCCGGCGCACCTCATAAATCGTTTAACATCCCGAAACCTGCACCTTCTCGCTATCCGTGTTTCTTCCTTCCTGTCTCTTAAACCTGACGTTGTTCTCAAACATTGGGCTAGTGTGAAGATTACACGGTCCAAGTCTTCTGCTGCTGACGGTGAAGACGATGAAGTGTGCAGACTCATAGTAGACAAATTTGAGAAGCTCGGGGGCGGTGAGGTGAGCTATGCAGATATTTCCCGGCGAGCATGGGAGGTTGGGAGGACGGGATTGGCCACCAAGGTAAAGGTGTTTCTCGTTCTCGCTTCCTTATACTGAGAGATTCTTTCTTCAGCTACTAGATCACGAAACTAGGGCCTCCGATCAGGTTCCATTACTATTAACCATGCAAGAGGATAAACTAGCTTTGGGAAAAGCTGTTGATAGCGGTGATACCGATCTCGGTGAGTAGTGCTCTGCAACTGGAACTTTGAAATCTGAGACAATTATCAAGTTTACCATGTATTACTACATCTTCACAAGCGCCTTCCTTTGGGCTCTTTTTTCAAGTTGATCGAGGATGGCGGAGACCAGCTTGCACCCGCAAGCAAGCTCCTTCAAGTTTACGCTCGGGAGCAGAACCGAGAAATGTTAAGAGATTTTTACTACAGTGATGATAGGAGAGTTGAGAGTGCAATTCTGGCGCTGGACGAGGCAGCCCAAATGACTGTACGCACGAAGTTTCCTCCTTCAGTTATCTGCGATTTAAAAGTTACTTAGGATCCTCATGCGGTGATGACAGCTGTAAATGTGGCCGAGAAATTCTTTTCAGAGGACAAAGACCGTCCATTTGAAGCCAAGGTAAGTCTGCTTATATGCCCTGAAACTGTTTTCACTCAATCTCAACCTTCATTCTGTAGATGATGAATGAAAGTGTTCGCCTGCTTGCGCTTCAGCAACAATATGAGAAGGATTCAGATGGCAAAGTCAAGTTTTTCGGACAAAGCGTCTCTGAGACGATACGCACGTGTATCTTGAACGGTATGAGCAAGAAAGCCGACCGCGTCAAAAGCGAGTTCAAAGTTCCAGACAAACGGTCTGTCGACTGTGCGATGTCCAGGGTCTTTGAATTTATGCCGCCTTTTCTAGATTTTGGTATCTTAAGTTACATGCGCTCACAGCTATGCGAGATTTTAACGCACTAGACGCGTTTGCGCGTTCAAGACGGAGTCCCATTGGCTACGAGGCATTCGTAAAACATCTTGTCGAAGCTGGTCACCCCAAGGAGGCAGCTTCATACGTAATACGATGCGATGGCCCAAAACGCGTGGGACTTTATGTGCTGTGCGAAGACTGGCGTGCGGCGGGCAGGGAGTGCAAAGAACGTGGAGATAAGAAAGGGATGGAGTAAGTATTTTGGCTATTGTTCACTGTTCATGGCTTATTGTGGTTGAAGACAACTCAGGAAGTCGTGTCCTAATTCCCTTATTGCCAGAGAGTTAGACCAGCTCATGGCATCGATGAAGTGAACCTTCTACCGAGTTCAGGGCGGAACGTCGGACTTTCTAGGTATCACTTCTATGCCGTACCCGGCCCAACCAGATTTTTTTTTTATCGTGGCGCGTGCTTCGAGATACCGTTATAAAGCAGTTTTTCTTTCCCTTTGGAGAACTGACTAGAACTTGATCAGAGTCATTTGCCTGCATTTCATTCACCTCAAAGAGCCAGAACCGCGCAAAAAAAGTTATTCGATGTGTTTGTTCGGTAACACGGCAGAACTTGCAGGTCGGCCACGGACTTAAGAGTGTACACTGCAGACATGATTTCGGATTTTCCTTAACCCGCATTTATTTTGGAGGAGGGCCTGACTTGACCTGCGATGCTCGGACCCCGGTTGCCAATTTCTGTAGAGGATGGTGGTAGGGCACAGCATCCACCACTTTTCTCATGGGCAATGTCACCCGTGCAAGATCCGGGTTGATGATCGTGCCGTGCCATCCTGCACCAACGAATCGGCGAGTCGTAAACCGGGGCCAATCCAATTTAAAAGGTCGGAGTGGAACGGGAAAGTCTAAACTTACGGGGCCATGACATGACCCTGTGCCTAGACTAGAACCATCTGTCAGGGAAGATAGCAATCACTGCCAATGTAGTTTTCTTTCGAAACAGATGTCAGTGAGTGTTAAATGACCACACAAGATGTCTGGATATCATTTGTATCAGTGAGAGTACCGTTGGCCTCTGAGTGGCTGGCAGTTGTTCCTAGTACGTTGACGTAATACCAGTGATTACATAATTAGTGTGATATTGTCAGAAGCTGTCAGGAGTCGGCAAACGAGGTTTCCCGGATAGGTAAACTATACCTTCTTAAGTACTGTAAAGTTCATTCGCTCCTTTTCTCTGCTCTCCTCTTTCGCTTATCGCCATGTATGTGTTCTCATTTGCATGTCTATGGCTTTTGGTTGACTTTTTTCTTCTAGGTCGGGCGTGGATCAGCAGACCGCAACGTCTGCAACGACAGCCACTTTCGTCACAGCGCTTGTCTTCAATGCTGCAGTCTTTGGGATTGAAATCGGCTTGTTCACAATTCTACGTCCTTACTTCAAACAAATCTATGAGCGGCGCACACTAGTTCCAGTTGAGAAGTATGCGTTGAAATATAGCACCTCATCCCAGACAGCTCACATTCTGTTCATTCAGGGACCGTGTCAAACCTTTCAATGCTGGATTTTTAACTTGGCCTATTGCCCTATTCAAAACAGACTATCGTGATGTTCAACAAGTCAACGGACCAGACGCCTACTTTTTTGTTCGGTTCTTGCGGATGATGATTCGCGTCCTTCTACCTATCTGGCTTATTTCTTGGGCCGTGTTGATGCCAGTCACCTCCGTCAATAATTCTTCCCCCAATAGCACCGGACTGGATCGCTTCATCTTCGGAAATGTTACCAAGGAACACCAAGATAGATATGCCGCCCACATCATTCTTGCATACCTATTCACTTGTGAGCCCGCCTAACAGCTTTTAGGAAACCTCGATTTGACCATCTTCATTGCTAGTTTGGATTTACTGGAACATCCGGCGTGAAATGAAACACTTCACCACAGTTCGTCAGCTGCACCTCATCAATCCTGCCCATTCTAGCTCTGTGCAAGCAAATACGATTCTTGTGACCGGTATTCCTGCTAGTTATCTTTCTGAGTCCGCACTTCGCCAGTTGTATTCTCACCTTCCTGGTGGCGTGAAAAAGGTGTGGCTCAATCGGTGTGTACCTTTACTTTTTCCGTCACCTTCTGTTCTTTATTGTTTCTCGTACCTGTTTATTTTTCTTCTTACGAGTATTGCGCTTGCCCGATGACCCCGGTCATTTTTGACTTCTATTCGTCCCGCCTTGTATACCATAGCCGTTTTTGACCTTTGAACTTCTTAGGGATCTGAAGGAGCTTCCCTCTATCTACGATCGTCGCCTGGCTGCTTGCGGAAAACTGGAGTCTGCAGAGACATCACTGCTTTCAACGGCCGCTAAACTTCGACGAAAGGCACTAAAGAAGGCCAACGGCGCTGGTGATCCATCTCCTTCGACTGATCCCGAGCGTAATGTGGCTTTGGCGGAGCGTTTGGTTCCTCGGGATAAGCGGCCTTCGCACCGTCTTCCAGCCGGTTTCATGCCTTTCTCACTCCCTTTCATCGGCGAAAAGGTTGACACGATTGATTGGTGCAGGCAAGAGATTGCTGCTGCTACGGGATTGTTGACTAAAGGCCGCCAAACTCTCGCTGACCAAGGCCTTTCGGTGCCAGAAGATGTTAATGGAGATGGAAAGGTGGACAAAAATGACCGCGCCAAGCAGCCTTACCCAGCTCTCAATTCCGCATTTATCACTTTCAACCAACAGATCGCTGCTCACCTTGCAGTTAACGCCTTGACTCACCATGAACCATACTGCATGGCCGACCGGTACCTCGAAGTGTCTCCATCTGATGTGATCTGGGGTAACCTTGGGCTTAACCCGTATGAAAAGCGCATTCGGCTGGTGATTAGCTATAGCGCCACCGCAGCTCTAATCATCTTCTGGGCTATTCCCGTTGCCTTTGTCGGTATCATCTCCAACATTGAAGGTCTTTGTCATCGCGAATCGTGGCTCGCTTGGTTATGCACGCTGCCAAACGTCGTCATTGGAATCATACAGGGTATTTTACCCCCCGTGTTACTGGCTGTCCTCATGATGCTCCTGCCAATTGTCCTTCGTCTCCTTGGGCGCTTCGAGGGGATTCCGACGCACACAGGTCTTGAATTGAGCTTGATGACTCGGTACTTTATTTTCCAAGTAATTGTGAGTATCTCGTTGTTTATGAACGAGCGATTTTGCTCACAATATCCAGCATTCGTTCCTAATCGTCACTTTGACTTCGGGCATCTTTGCGGCTCTCCCATCATTACTCTCAAACCCCAGTTCGATAGCTGGTCTCCTGGCTCAATATTTGCCCCAAGCATCGACTTTCTTCCTGACGTAAGTTACTCTTGTGAGCTTACCGAGACTGTTGCTCATTAAGATATTCAGATACATTCTTCTCCAGGGTTTATCTGGCGCAGGCTGGAGGATTTTTGAGTGCTGTTTCGCTCGTCCTTTACTACGTCAAGCTGTATATTCTTGGCAGCACGCCACGCTCTGTTTATAATATCAAGTACGCACCGACAACTGTTGCTTGGGGAACGTTATTCCCGTCTATCACTCTGCTTGTTGTCATCAGTATGTCTATTCGCAGCAGTTCACACCAAACGTATTAACCGTTTATCCAGCATTTGCTTACTCTCTTATCTCGCCTGTGATCAATGGCCTTGCATGCTTCACATTTTTCCTTTTCTATCTCCTGTACAAGTATCTCTTCCTTTACCAGTACACACAGCCGCCATCGGCTGATACAGGAGGCTTGTTCTTCCCAAAAGCGATTCAACATATGTTTGTTGGGATGTATGTCCAACAAATCTGTCTTTGTGCCTTGTTCTTCCTCGCGACGGCTCCGGACGGGAAGCGAGGCGCGCTTCCAGAGGGCGTGCTAATGATTGTGTTGATCCTCCTCACCGTCGGCTACCACGCCATCATCAATAGCTCCTTCGGTCCGCTCACCAGGGCTCTTCCAATTAGTCACGCGCACAAGACATTCAGGCATCCAGCGCCTTCTCTAGATGTACGGGATGTCGATGGTGGTTCAGGCTCAAACAACAAGGAGACGACTGAGGAGGGACCTTCGCCGGCTGACAAACCTCGCGTCTCGTCCTCTGAGTCAGGCGCCGAACATGCACCCCGTGGTGACTATGACGACGTGTTCTTTGCTCGCGGGCCAGACGGTGCGGAAGATTATGGGTTTGCGCAACCGGCTGCGAGCCTCCCACAGCGCATCGTATGGATCCCCGATGACTCGCTCAGTTTGGGTCTTGAGGAGGTCCAGACGAATAGGGAGTCGGGCGTCAAGGCGACCACCCAAAACGCGAAAATGGACGAGCACGGGAAGGTAGAGGTGACAGGTCCCCCTGTCGACCTTGCAAAGTTCTGAGAGATGTGGAGTAATCGAGGTTGTTTTCTGTTCTCTTTTTTTTACTCGCCTCCTTATCTGTGTCTTGTGAAACGCGGTATCAATCTCCAATTCAGCTTCTTGTTATGCTGTACATTCCACTTCATACTCGCCATACGATAAATATTCACGTCACTCTGATGCTTCATTCATGTCAACTATCGTCAGTTTCATCTATTCTGTATACCCACATTGTCCCAGTACATAATCTTGTTATACGCTTACGATTGTCATTTTACAATTCAGTACTTGAGTTACTGTGAATCTGTAGGTTGGACCGTTGAAAATATCGCAGTTCAATATGCATATTTCCAGGGTTGCTATGCTGTCGAGTAATCTGTGGTTCCTACAGTCGAGGACTACTACAGGATAAAAAAACCAATATTATAATGGGCTGGGAAATACGAGGCCGGAAAATAGAATGTAGGCAAGCCACTAGAGTCTGCTTTTCGAGTATAGTAATAAACCGCTTGGAAGTAACAAGGATGAAATTACAGTAGATGCATATTTACATTGCAATCTTAATGTTAACATTCCCCCCTCCATGTTCATTGACTTCCAGAACCGGAATCGAGCAACAGATTCGATGCAAACGTGCCTTTCATTCTATCGCGCCATGAGTAAACGCTGGTATATACGAGAGACAACTAATGCAAATCAAAATGACAGTGATATATCTCGAGTAGGAGCGGAACTTTGAAAAGAAAGGATGATAACATCATCAATAAACGAAAGACGACTTAGCAAATCAAAAAAATGACAGTGTTATAGCTTGACGTTAGCTGAACTCCAAAAGACAATACAATATCGATAAGGTAAAATGTCTAGCGAAATGTAATGTTAGAGCCAAATAGTGGAAGAGTTCAACTCTAAACAACAGCTGAAATTATTGTAGAGCTCACAAATTAAATGTTCATATCGAGGATGTGAGCGCGGGATTTGGGGAAACAGCTGGTAGGGGTGCGCTCTCTGGGGAGAATGGCTTCCCCGTTACAGGCTTCGGCTCAGAACCTGAACCATAATTGGATTTTGCAGGCGGTGCCTTGAAAGGGTGGCACTCTGTGTTGAAGACATCTAGAAAAAGGCATTAGTCGTTTAGGCTAATGAATTACGTAGGAAAAGCTTACATTCATCAAGCGAGATGTGTTTGGGGTCGTCGAAGGTTAAATACCTATACATGTCCATGAAGAGTGCAAGATTTTCGCATGCAGCAATACTCACAGGTACTTAAGGGCCTCGGCGAACCAGAAACTTTCCATGTCATCGATTTTTTGGGAAAGCACGTCGTTGACGTCGTAGATACCAGTGTACGCAACAGTTGTAGACAGGTACTTCTTGAAACTGACAGTGGCACTAACTGCATTGTTGAAGTACTTGAGATCACCAGTCACACGCCAAGCATAGAAGTTCGACTCAAGGACTTCAGGACGAAGAACGTAGTCGGGAGCGGTGATATAGAAGCCGTTCGCATAATAGAAATCGAGTTGCTCCTGACTAGGAGCAGTGTTGCCAGTGTAGTTGCCGTCGCTAGAGATGTATGAGAAAGCTTCGGGGCCAATCCCAGTACTAAAAACAAAGAATCAGTACAGTGATAGATGGCGGAGGGGGACGTACGCAGTCTTCGCGTATGTGTTCCAGCAGGCATCAGTGAGTTTAAGACCAATATCAACCAGTGTTGCATTGTTGGTGAGCTTGCCGCCTTGGGTTTACATCAAGCTCAAGCCACAGGGAGAAGAGGAGAACATACCTAGAATCCAGTTTCCTCCATAGAAGCAGGCCAGGTGGGACCCCACGTGACGAATCTTTTTGTCGTCGTCGTAATCAGCAAGGTACAACCAGTCATCGACAATTGACGACTGTCGCGGAACATCAAAACGTGAGGTCATTGGGATGAAAAGGTCTGCATACTCTTAGGAGCATCTTCATGGAAGTATCAGCGGCGGTCAACCACGTATCGGCGTACGAGTTATCGTCGGTATTTGTAAGGCGGGCATATTTGATGAGATATTCAAAGTAAGAGTCAGAACCTCCGCCCCAAGTCTACGAATGTGAGTCAGGAGGTACATGTATCACAAACATGAACACTTACCACATACCCACCAACAGGACTACCAGTCCCTGGGTTGATACCTTGAGCGGGCATACCAGGGAGAGGAGTTGCCTGAAAAGCAGCAAGTCAGGTAAGAGCCAACATCAAAGTTGATATCGTGCTTACCATGTGAATCATATACTGCACAGATTTCTCAGCCAGTGTTTGGTACGTGGAATTGCCAGTATATAAACTTGACGTCCAGTTCATTTAAGCAGCCAGACAAGCACAATGACCCACCCACCTAAGGCGGTTCCACTCCAGGGTAAGCTACACAGGATAAATGTCACATCCTATTCTACGGTATACAGGATGTAGACTCACAGTTCCAGCCTCGGCAATGTTTGACTACAATTGAAGATGTGTATCATCAAAACTTGGACGTCGGTAAATTGCTCACAGTAGCGATGGTGGGTTGGTGACTGTTAAAGTCCATATAACCATACGGAATAGACTGATTCTATAAGATAATCAGATACCATTACGCACATGCAGATACTGTGACGATTACCTGACTGACCCAGGCATAGGTCATTTGATCAGCAAGGTCCTGGGCTTTTTCAACTAGAACTGGATACTGTTCCCCGCTAAGCTCATACGCGCTTATGAAACCTCCAACATAACGAATAGTGGTTTCAAACAGACTACCCTTAATTAGCAAGATAGCTTAAATGCGAAGATAGAGCAGCAAGCTACCTGACAGTGTCGTAAGTGTGCGAAATGCTAAAGTCGGTATTAGCAGTGTGATTGACGGCTTGTGCAAACCAGTCCTGGGTGCGTTTCGAAATGAGCTGATGTGAGTTCACGTCTCGCATGTGGAAACGTACCGTGAACCCCATAATCCACTGCATCACGTGCACACGCGACAACAACTCAGTCTCTTCACCTCTGGACGAGGCTCGTTACTCACCATGGTGCCCATAGCGTCGGCAATGGAAGCGCCCCATCCGTTCCGTCCGTCAAAGTACGATTCTGAAACGGGCAACAGGTCATCATGCCCCCAGGCGTACTTCCTGCATGCGGCATGGTGAGTGCAAATAGAAACAAAGACTACTGTATCGTACTGGTAAGCCTCGTAGCTTGAAGCAAAAAGATCCTTGACTTCTGCCTTGTGGATTGAAGCACTAGGCGGAAGTTTCAAGTCTGATTTCTGGACTGACTCGGCCTTGACAGCAGATGCCGCAAGAGCTGCCAGGAGCCAGCATCTGAAGGACGTCATCGCTGGACAGGCAGTCGGGATAGGGAAGGATGAAAAAGTAGTGATAGAATATTAGTTGAACAATGAGATTTATAGCCTTGATGCCATACGCCGCTTTCATCACCGTTATTCGCGAGTCGCACGGTGAAGTTAACGGATCTGCCAGTGCATATAAGGCAATACAGTAGGAGCGCTGATTCGAGAATTCGCGCCGACATCCCTGGACTTCCCAGTCATCACCGTGACCAGTCGTCAACCAAATTTTTTGGAGACCAATGATGATCGATTATCCATCGCCGGCATGTGGTTGACGAATTCTGACAGTATGTTGCAAAAAATTCCTGCAGATGTTAGTTTCTTGGCTAGCCTTGATCTCGAAGTACACTGCATCGCTGAGTTGAAACACTGAAGAAAATGGTATGAAATCTTCCTGGGCAACACGGTTATTAAGATACGTGACAGTTCACTGGTGGGCCAACAAGCTCATACCCACCTTGTCGAATTGGATTTTTATGCATAAGTATCATGATGGACCGGCCGCATGTATATCCACGCACAATGTAACCTCCATCATCCCCATGCTCTATGGGGACACGTCACAACCATCCGAAATACAAACCGAACCTTTGTTGGAAAAAATATTATGACGTTATGTTGTTCGGCCGCTTATGTATACCGCACTACGAGCTTGTACGGAAGCGTAACGACTGGAGAGCCCAGAGTCGGTAATTCAACGGGTAATTCTTGTACAGTAGCGTTGGCGACGCGGATGATGATCAACCAGCAAGAATGACAGCGAAGTTGATAATCTGGTTAGCAGAACTCAGTGGCACGAGTAGTAAGGATCACCCAACGAGGGCAAAGCTAGCTAAAGACCCACCAAGTGCATCCTCTCGACCTCTGAAAGGCTCCTTGACTTGAGGGTGCAAATCTTTTCGAATTGATTTTCCAGCTTGAGTGATGTGAAAGCAGAATTCAAGGAGCTTGCAATGTATAGCGCCACTGCGACGAAGTATACATACAAATACGGACGTGACGCATATTGTACATGGACCCTTTAATTCTCAAGCCAAGACTCCTATGCCACCCATAATATCAAAGGAACTACAACCATCAAGTGCAATCAACTTGCCGCGAATACTTACGTCTGGACCGACGAGCTGCTGGGCATGAGCATAGTCGAAAAAACTCCAGCGTGCCCTTCAGCCCTTCGCCATGTGGATGCCGAACAATTTAGTTTATTTGCATTTTTTTCTTTTGCCAGAGGGTTCATCCTTCAAGTGACGGTTGCTCCGTGGCATGCGGATTTTTTCTAGGCAACTTGTTCGCGAGGCGAGTAAACGCCATATTATATAGACTGATTTGATGTAGCGAGTAAACCAAATCGAGTGTCCCTTATCCGAGGGTGTACGTTACAACATTCAAAAGGCTAGGCATGCTAAGTAGTCTCAGATGCTTAATAATCACGCGATCACCACGGTTACAGAGAAAGATCCACAATTCAAAGCCTAAATATTCCACCCGCCATTCCTCGCCTCCTCCAGGAGAACAACGCCTTTTATGTTGAGATCGACACCCTCAGTCGTCGCATCTGCTACAAACCGATCAAAGACTCGCGAGACACCGCTTATGTTTCCGTCAGGGACCCAGCTAGCTTGCACAATCGGATATCTAGGAGACGCAAGTATCAAGCCGCGAATCCAACAAGTTGTTATAAGAAGAGAACGCACCCTTCCCATTTTACCAAAAACAGGTACCCAGCTTCCCCTATGGTTTTCCGCCCGACTAGACGCTCGATGACAAACTCCTCTGTATCGAGTTGGGCGAGTGGACAATCTGGACGGGCACATGTTTCTGCGCGCTTGCGCAGACTGTGACGTCTCGCGTCTGAACCATCAATCGCGGTTGAGCATATTAGGCAGCTAGACGGTATGAACGCCTACTCGAGATGCTGAATAGTTTGATTTGATTCATTTAATGCAGGAGGTATGAATCTGTTGAACACGTACCAGCATGGTGGACAGATGAAGACAGAATCCGGCTCCTCCAAGCGAGTATCTCCTTCGGAAAAACCAACGCAACCAAAGTGATACCACAACTCGCAGCTGCATGGACTAAGGGTTGACCATAGGATGAAACGACTAAAAAAATACTGACTTATCACACTGTACGAACTGCTGCTGAAATGACCCATTCTGTTTGTTATTTGCAGGCTTTTCAGGCCACTGACACATCTGAGCTTCTTCCTGAACAGCCAGTGACTTGGACTTTCTTTTTTGTGGTTGCCACGACTTGGGCTTTCCGGTTCTCTCGCGCCGCTGGACATTCTTCTGGGTGGTGACTTGGCTCGCCTTGTAGCTTAGAGGCCGCACCCGTTTCCTGCGCGAAATTGAATCCTCCCAGGACTTATTGGCATTTACAGCTAGCTCTGGCTCTGTCATCTCTAAGGTGGTCATGGAGGTCTGCGCTGGCTCGCTGATTGTCATGGCACCGATGACACTGGCATTGTTTACTTCCATCGGTACTGAGATGCTTTCAACTTCAAGTGGCATTACATCCTTCGCTGATTCGGAAGGATCGGGTGATCGGGGCATCGGATCTCCTGCACCTTGGTGTTGGAGCTGATCGGCTAGATGGGCGAAGGAAGAAGTCACATCATCTGTGCTGAATGATATGGCATCCATATCTGAATGGAACCTAGTTTTCTTTTTTGGGGGCCGTGACTGGATCCCTGACTCCGATGGCTCGAGCTTACGCTTGAGCTCAGAGAGAATGATTTTGCGCGGATTCTTCTTTGCGAGAATAGATAGCTCTTCGATGGATGCGTCTGGTCCACCCCTTAACTCACCAGACTGCAACGATCTCAACAGCATCCTCCTCCGCAGTATCGACATCGAGCACGCAGAGCGTGCTCTGCGCTGGTGCACACCAGAGTCTTCGTCTGAATTGAGGCTCTCTGTTCTAGGCAACTCCACCTCGATTTCCTCATGCCCCTCCTCATCCCCCGCATTGATCTCCTCTTGCAGTGTCCGCGGAGAGTCACTCAGCGAGGACAGTGGGGAGAGTGACCTCAATAGGTGCGAGAGAGATGATGGCGACGCGCAAGGGAGTGTGGTAGTGAAGGTGGGGGGAGAGCAGATGGAAGCCGTATGTTCAAGTGGGGCTGAGAGCTCGGTCGATGCAGTAGTTTCGGATTCAGTGTGTATTCGATGATTTATAGTCACTGTAGGTTCTTGCTCCACAAGGTCCTCAGCACATGTACTTCTCAGAGCAGACGTGGCTCCATCGGTGTAGGCGTTCGTGAAATCGATGAACGTAGTGAAAATGTCGTCCACATCATCAAGAATCTCCGTTGGTTCCTGTGACGAAGGGTTGTCTCCTTTCTCTTGGGCTCCCAAACATGATGCCTCCGACTCTGGCTGTAAAGGTGAACAAGCAGACAAACCCTCTGGGGAGGACGGCAAAGGCGGTGATCCACTCTCTGCTGAAGGAGATGGGGCTGTAAGCACTGCGATGACAGCCTGTTCATCTCGAAAGAGAGAATCTGTAGGTGTTTGTTCGCGGGAGTCTTCAGCACGGAGATCTTCATACTGGTCCAGGTAATCAGCATCGAGGCACATTGGATTCGAGGGAGCTGGTTGACGTAGCTCAGGAAGAGCAGGTTCAGTCTGCACGCTGTCTTCTGAGTCTGCAAGCTCAAGTTGTTCTGGACAGTACTCTTGTGGGCAAGCGTCTGGCGCATCTGCTGGCTTGGGTGTGTCGTTTGGCGTGAGCGATACATCAGAGCGCTCTTCTACTGACTTGAAGGATTCTTCGAGTGCCCCATCAAGCCCTCCAGCTTTGTGCTCTGTCTGCAAGCTCTGCTCTCTCTCGCACTCTCCAGAATCGTCATGCCCAGGCTCATTCAGGCTATCAAGTCCCGCCTTGCCTGATCCACCAGTATCAGGCATGTGGCCCAGCCGCGAACTCTCCTCTAAACTTGGACCACTGAAGTCTCCATTTACCTCGCCATATTCATTCGTCCACATACGTCCTGAGCCATGAGATTCACCATCCTCATCCGTTCTATTTGCACCCAAGCCGTGCCATGAATCCGCAACTATACCGTGTGTCTCGATCGTAGCCAGAGGGACTCCTGGAACTTCAGGTTGTGCCTCAAGTGCAGGGAGAGATGCCTCTCCAAATGACAAGGACGGACCAACTGAAGACGTATTCAAGCAAATACGCGATGAACCAGCAACCGTACTTTGATCTCGGGTTTCCTCATTAGTGTTCTGCTCCAGAAAATTCATACTCTGGCTGAAACGTTCTTGATGTTCATAGCGTCGCATTTTACACTCCATACACGGCCCTTCACAATCCACATCTCCCCCGATATCCTGGTAAACCTGTGGGAGGATGTGGTATGATGCTGTCGTGTGCGCTCGTGCGAGCATAGAAGTGGGAGTTTGGGGTGGGCTCGCGAGATGCATGTCAGCAGTGCGGGTAGAAGATGAAGGTGATGATGAGAATGGAGTAGGAGCAATAGGGGCGATTCCAGAGACAGGGGGCGAAGTAGACGAGCCTGAAGTTGATGATGTGAAAGGTAATGTCAATGTAGGTGTGAAATTTGCTGGAGCAGAGTCGAGCCCGGAGTCGAGTGAACGAGATGCAGATTGAATAGAGGTGCGTGTAGGTTTGTGGATTGGATTAGTAGATGAAGGAGGAATGGGGTTTAATAATGAGTTTGGGAAGGTGCGGAGTGATGTCGAGTATGTGTTTTTATTAGGGGGCGTCCAAGACCTGAAGTTTGAGTTGTTCGCCGTGCTGAAACTTTCCTCAACCGGAGTTTCAGGAGATGGGGTTGGCAGCGGTGAGGAAAGATCAGGCCCATTTGCAGGGACTCTGGCGTGTAAGGTAGCAGAAGCCGCTGAGCGAGAGGAAACGTTGACTATTGTAGGAGATGAGACATGGTTGAAAACACTAGGGGACATTGTAGAGTCCGGAGAAGGTCGAGAGTCTGTACTCCCGGATGAGCTGGAATCGCACTGAACATTGTGAATATATTTTTCTGAGTGAGCGGATGCTGTTGGGTGGGTGAGTTAGTTAGTTCGCTAGATATAGCAAATAGTTAAAAGGATGGAAGACGGAAGATGCAAGATTCTAGGTCTTGTCAGGGCGGGTAAAGAAGAGAAAGGTTTTTTGAAGGAAATTGGAAGGAAAACTTGCCTGTGGCACGATAAAAGTTGTTGGCTGCGGGTATGAAGTTTGGTGCATCAGCCATCATCACCGACCAATGTTAAAAGACGCACCTTTCTCCTGAAGTGAAGAAGATGGCGTACATGTGGTAGCGCTTGCGTCGCAAGATACTTCAGGGTGACCTATTCAACAAAGGAGAGATGAAATTAAATCAAGATGGAGAGTAAAACAAGGCTATGCGGCATAAAACGCACGGGAAGCTGTGTCCAATCTCGCTACGTGTGCAAGTAAATGGTTGATCGTGGCATCCATTGTCGCCAACCGACGGACTATACTCCCCTCTGATTGTAGCGTATCTAGATTCATATTGTCCCCCTTCTTCTTTTTCCTCTTGCCGCGACCGGGACTTACATTACCACAAAGTACACCTTCCAAAACATTGACGGTTGTGCTCAGGTCATTCAAGTCCTTTGAAATCTTTTTCTGCTCCTCAAGAGAGGCCTCCACGGACTGGAGGATTGACTTGACATCTGCATAGAGATGTTGCAGTGAGATGTCGGATGCGATCGTTGTCTGCTGAAAGATCGGTGCTGCAGAGGCGGACGAAACAGGCGTAGATGAAATCGGTGCTCGGCTTGGTGGAGGAGAAGGTGCCAGTCGAAAGTTGTTGGGATAATAATACATCCACTGGTTTGACATGATAGACACTGGTCACTTGAGATACGATATCAGATGGATGAAATAATGGCTACATACGTACAACCGACTCCTACAAATGTAATAGAAGCCATCTTATCGAAAGGATGCAAGCTCACGTGACCTCCAACCATCTGGAGGTACTTCGATGTCAAAGATCATCGCGGTCCCTGTCCTGGATGCTAGTCTTTAAGGGTCTGGTCGATCCTAGTCATGCATAAAAGTTGTCGTGTTCTCTCTTCAAAGAGGCACAGAAGTTGGACTCAGCATGAACGAACCGACAATATCACTTTTGTTGCTGCGAACTAGCAGCCTGAGTATGACGAGTTTGAGGCTTTGAGCTCGGCGTCGTGAATAGTATATAAGAGGCGAGACTGTGTGATACAGCAATCGAGGCTGTTCTCGAGAATATACCAGAAGAAGCAATCAAACTTAAGCAGTCTCACGAGTCACGACCTAGTTCAAGGACTTAGTCAGTAACTATCATCATCTCCAAAGCTCTCTGTGCATGTCCAACGTTAACGGGCTCCCTCTGCTCAGTGGTCCTCCACCAGCGCCTTCCACAGGTCGTGCGCAGAACGCCTGTAGGAAATGTAACAAGGAATTCATCTTCATAATTACACGCTCAACCCGCTGTAATCATTGTGGTTAGTTGCATCTGCGAACTACATCAGTGACTAGATTAATTCGATTGACGGTTTCGGGCAGGCTACTTATATTGTTCGAGCTGCGCAGACTACCAAGCGCTCATGCCCCGCCATGGCGCAGCATCTGGCTATGATCAAGTTCACGTTTGTGCATTCTGTATCGAGTTTCTGAATAGTGCGCCCCATACATTCTGGTATTAACGTCATAATCTGATGTCGCATTCAGTAACAGCTTCTAGTAGAAACCAGCTCAAACTCCTACCTCTCTCCACCCTTCGCCGCTATGTCACCGCGTATGATATCCCCGTCAAAGGCCCTATCGATAAGAATGACCTCGTGGATGCCATCATCGCTGTAAAGGTGCGTTCTGTTCCACCTTGGTCCATCATTCTATCACACACTTCTCCTAGACACCAATAGGCACGCTCCCTCCCTCAAATGAAGCTCATTACCGTACTCATGGTGTCCCCAAACACCGTTCCTCGCGCCCTCGCGGACTTTTCAGCACCCGTCCTCCACCCCCGACTCACCAACAAACGTTCACACCACCACCACCCGTCTTCTCCCGTCCTGATCTTGACCCTGAACCAGCATCGTATAGAACCTATACCTCCAACTCCACAAGACAGCGCCAGACACCCCCTACGCCGCCCCAGCCCCAACCCCCTCCACAGCCACGATTTAGGACGACCTCGCAGCCACAAACGCCGTCTCGATCAGCGCCCCGCTCCACTCCACGCCCATCTCCAGCGTCTACTGCCAGTCCACCTCCGCGCCCATCAACTGCGCCTCGCTCACCACCTCAGCCATCCACGCCGCAGCCCCCGCCCCCACTCTCTGCTCTCCTGGCAATGTCCTCGTCGTCACTCTCGCGATTGCCCATTCACACGCTGAAACAGATACTGTTTGAGGCACGTGTGCGTTTGCCCGCTGATGTCCTTGAGAAGGAAGAACTCGTGGCGCGTGTCATTGCCTGGTTGGAAGAGGAGAGAACAGCAGCGGAGGAAAGGGACATCATGGAAAGAGATGAAAGGGAACAAGAAGAGAGAGAGAGGCAAGAAGAAGCAGAGAGAGTGAGGGTTGAGGCGGAAAGGTCATTCATGGAGACACAGTCAACCGGGCCAGAAGACGCCCATATGCATGCCTCTGCTGAAAATGTCGAGATACATGACGAGTCGCAACAACATCCTCCGCCACCGCATCCTCTGCCACCTTCCACCTCTCCACCACCACCACCTAGGACGACGCTTGCGGAACGTTCGGGTTTATGCGTGATATGCCAGGACCAGGAGGCCAATATCGCAATCGTGGATTGCGGGTGAGTGCTACAAGTTTTGTGCTTGCGTGCGCGGCCTTTCACTAACTCATCTCAATAGACATCTAGCGATGTGTCGTGCCTGCTCTGATTTAGTACTCGCATCATCTCGCGAGTGTCCGCTCTGTCGCACCCGCATTGTCACAGAAGCTCGACTTTTACGGATATTCAAGACATAGGCCTACTTTCAAATTCGCAGATCAGGAATTTAACTCTGGTATCACTGTACATTTAGGGAGGTTGCAATTGTGCACCGTGCCCAATCATGATGTGCTAGATATGCGGATCATGTTATACTGTTTTTTTGTGCGTGCGTAAGATATAGCGACGGGTATCAAGTAGAACTTGGGCTTGTTTTGGATGTAATAACTAATAATCTAACATTATTGACCCATCTCGTAGGGAGTCATGCCTGTATTCGGGGATGAGCGCTTGGGCGTCTCTAATACTATTTGGAAGACGAATGCACCGTACATCGTTAGCAAGCTCAGATTTGGTTCAGATAAGCCTGGGATAGTTCGCCTTGAGTTCTCTTTTTCTACTACTTTTCTGTTGTGCTACACTCATTTCCTTCGCGACCATGTAGCCTAAATAACCTGGCGAACAATGTGAACGCGCGGGCTCTGAATCGACGTTGTTTCATGGTCCACCTCGACTCCCCATATTTTGTGCTTGTTAGGCTGGTTAACTTCGCTACCCTGATACACCGGCTTACACCGCACTGCCGCGTGCTTCTGAGATCTGGCCACCTTTTCACAGGTAGCGTGCATTCCCTTTGTCTGGAATATTGAGCGAAATCAAGGTCACAATATTGGATTTTCTTCGCCCCCGACGACGAAATATTGGGTGTCGTCCTATTCTGCCATTGGACTTATGATGAGCGGTGCCAGTCCTTTCCTGAAATGA